TGTGTAGCTATAACATGACTAGCTTCTAACAACACTCATCTACGGCTCGTCAAGACAAAAGAAAAAGTATCAGATTGTTTGAAAAGCCGAGAGTCGTGTCTCTTACCTGAGGCCGATGATTGGCTTGTAAGTTATGATAGATTTGACACTACATAGACTAGACATTACTTATATCCGCCCCCTCACCAATGTGAATTGTGAACTGATCACAGGTTTTTAACCCATACTCTACTGCTACTCCCCATCATGCATAATATTTTATGTCTGTGTGTGTAACCAATCACGTTCGATTTACTGAACAGACAGGGCACACAAAAATGTCAATTAATGAACTGTTCATTAACACCACCAAGACCAAATATGGTTTTCGGAACAACATTAATTTACAACGATTTGATATACTGTCACGATCGCAGAAGCAAGCAGTAGTCTACATAGATGCACGGCCTCATTTTTTTAATTTCAAAAATTCAAATAGCCTACATATATCACGTTTATAAGAAAATAAAAGATAAAAAATATTAATTTAAGATTTTAGGTTCAGTAATGAATTGGCGAAACTCACTTGACTTTTCAGACGTTATCAATTATTTTAGTGAAACAAATTTTAAGAAATCAATGATAATATACACCCTAGTATAGATAGACCATACATCAAAGTAAGGTTTTTGTAATCTATGGTAGTACCTTGAAGGCTACATTATTAGGTACAAATGGACAACCTAAAATAATGAGGCTATGAGTAGGAAACATTAATTTGTAGAAAATGCAAAAAAACAAGATCAGCTTTTGCAAAAATTATACAATATTCACAAAAAATGTTAATATTATGTCAAACTTTTATGTACATTGTGATTATTTGCCATTAGTTGCATAGTCTTTGGGTTGACTCTTTACTCTTTTAAACTCATATGAAATTATATGAATGTTATTCGTTATAAATAGCTCCTGTAATACTTTGCAATCACTCGATTTCGAGCAACATAAAATACACTATAGTTTAGCACAGATAATATAACCTACTAGTAATATATAACCTACCTAGTAGGGGTTATATTATCCGTGACTATAGTCATAGTACATCAACTTACTAAACGCGCCAAAAACATGTTAATTGTTTAGTTTTGTTTGGGCAGAAAAGCCAAACTGTCTCGGAAACGAAAAACCAATATTTTTTAAATATTATATAGATTTTATAAAATATAGTTACCGTATGTGATATTGTATTTTTAAAACTACATAAGCTGTTGTTTTGTTACTATGTTGTGCTATGGAATTTTCTTACAATTTTTATAGGTCATAAGGTTACGTGTCTGTCTGAATGTTTGAGGAATTATTATAAAATTAATAGTTTCAAAACCAAATTTAAACTCTCGTAAGAAATTGTACTCGGAGGAAGCTTTAGAGCGTAACTCGAAATATAACGGATAAGAATGTCGATGCTTGATGGCAAACCTGTGTGTTGGTACCTTAAGATAAAAAAAAATATGAAAATTGGTTGTGTAAAGAGCCAAATAACTCGGAAAAGAAAAAAACAATATTTAAAAAATATGTTTTTACATAAACTAGCTGTTACCCTGGGGCTTCACCCCGTTTGACTTCATAAGTATTAATACTATTGATTGGCCAAGTTAAGCTGAAATAAACAAAAGATAATAAGGTAATACAGAAAAAAATAGCACCTAAAAATTAAAAAAAAAAACATATAAATAAGTACAGCTGAGGTATTTTTTACATTAGGTAATGGGAAGTTCCATATAGAAGGGAATTACGACCTTAAATGGCATTATTAATGGCACAGCTTAATATTCATAATAAATATGATTTTTAATTTAGAAGAGGTGTTTTTAGATTTTTGAAACATCCAAACGAAATAGTTTAAAATCGTAATCTCTAGGTCTTTCCAGTTTCTATAAGATATACTTTAAATACCAAGGCGCGCAAAAGTTCGTCTATTCACCGCTAGGTGCGCCAGTGACCAAGTTCGCCTTGTCACCACTAGATGCCAGCAAAACAGATAAATCTAAATCCTTACCAGTATTCAAAAGTTTATTAATAGTTTAATAGCATTTAAGAACAAAAACAAATTAACCTTTGGCTAAAAGAATAAACCACCATTTATAAATTATAAACAATAGGACAATATTGTCATTTAAAGCCGCGGTAGTTACTACGAGTCCTCTGTATCCGTTGACACTCGCAGGGAGTTTTGAGTAGCTATAACATTACTAGCTTCTAACAACACTGTTCCAACATGAACTTGACGACGACATGGGTCTTAAGGATTAGACAAAAATTATTAGATTGTTTGAAAAGCCGAGAGTCGTGTCTCTTACCTGAGGCCGATGATTGGCTTGTTAGTTGTGATAGATTTGACACTACTTAGACTTAGACTAGATACATTACTTGTATCCTCCTGCTCACTGATGTGAATTGTGAACTGATCACAGGTTTTATTTTAACCCATACTCTACTGCTATTACCCATCATGCATAATATTGTATGTCTGTATTTGTAATCAATCACGTTCGATTTACTGAACAGACAGGGCACACAAAATATCGATTAATGAACTGTTCATTAACACCACCAAGACCAAATATGGTTTTCGGAACAACATTAATTTACAACGATTTGATATTCTGACAAGATCGCAGAAGCAAGCAGTAGTCTACATAGATAGATGCATGTCCCCATTTTTTAATTTCAACAATTCAAATAGCCTACATATATCATGTTTATAAGAAAATAAAAGTTAAAAAAAATATTAATTTAAGATTTTAGGTTCAGTAATGAATTGGCGATACTCACTTGACTTTTCAGACGTTATTAATGAGTTTAGTGAAACAAATTTTAAGAAATCAATGATAATATACACCATAGTATAGACCATACATCAAAGTAAGGTTTTTGTAATCTATGGAAGTACCATGAAGGCTACATTATTAGGTACAAATGGACAACCTAAAATAATGAGGCTATGAGTGGGAAACATTAATTTGTAGAAAACGCAAAAAAACAAGATCAGCTTTTGAAAAATGATACAATATTCACAAGAAACGTTGATATCATATCGAACTGGTATGTACATTGTTATTATTAAATAATAACAATATAAATAAATAATGGTAATAAATTTTATTACCATTAGTTGAATAATCTTTGAGTTGACTCCTTACTCTTTTAAACTCATATGAAATTATATGACTGTTATTCGTTATAAATAGCTCCTGTAATAACATTATATTGGGATAACAAAACATAAGTCATTCAGAAAAGAAATCAAAAACTACTTACCAAATACATAAGAAACATTGTTGCCAACACAAAATAAGAAAATACAACTTGGGTCCAGTTGTAATGACTGCAACTAACCAACTAATCTGGCAGTAAAGGTTGGTATGATTGAGTGGCTAATCTAAACCAGATCAGAGACAGGAGGGCTAAAATGACCTTGCTGGACACTTCCTAGCCAGTCTGTGAATGCATTGACAACAATCTGTGCAAATATTGACAACAATCCTTGCTTTTTACAACAATCTGTGCATATTGACAACAATTAGGCTAAACATTGGCAACCCACCTGTCCAAACATTGTTAAGGTATCATAATTTCATCAGCTGATCCGATCTGTAATGGTTGAAACTTATTAATTGTAGCAATGTGCAAATATAACTGGTGTGTGTGCAGTGGCAACAATCGTTCACAAGATTGCTTTCAATTATTTGTTAATTTTAGAAGCCTTTGTTCTTGCCATTAGATGTTTTCTCCAACATATTTTAAACCGCAAGAACAAAGGCTTCTAAAGGTATCAAATAATTACATTTTCTAGTTCTTGCCACTAGGAAAACAAATAAAATATTATTGCTTTGTTGAACCTTCTTTTTTCCTATGGCTGGGATTTTTCTTTCCATTTTAATTAGAAAACATTCTTTTTTGTTTTTACTCGAACTTTTCCTTTTTACACGAGTTTATAACTGGACTAAAACAATGGGACATTTCTTTTAATAAATTGTATGCCTCCTACAATTGCTGAATTTATGACCAACATCTAAATGGAACTATTTTAATGTTAAAAATAAGTTTTGGTGGTGTTTGGGGCGACGGGCTAGCACTGGGAAAGGAAAGTTCTTTGCTCAAAACACAAAAATGTTACTGAGTGTAAATGAAAGCTGTAGCAGCTTCAAAAGCAAAAAGGTATCTTTATGAACCTGATTTACCACACATTATGTACATGTACTGAACAAAGTAATTTTAAACACAGTTTATTTACTAATGTCACAAAACGGATAAATTCATGAAATGTTTTTCTTCTTTTTTTGCCTTATGCAACTTATTTAGCCTTTAATTCCAAAGGTAACAATAAAAAATTAAGCATCAAAGTGCAGTATGAACTTCGAAACCTAGCACAAAACTAAACATATGTGTATAGGCCCTATTACAATATATTCCTGTCAATTTGAGTATAGCCGTATAGCTTACATATTTATTTAGTGTCTACAAAAATACCAGTTTGAATAAAAGAAACACAAACCATTTTCAAGGGCTAGCAGTTCAAACTTAATTTTTTGTGGGTATGCAATGGTTTGAACCTATCACGGATAACTCAATAATTAGTCCTTATATGCAAACATTGAGTCTTTTCCTTCCCAACTAAAAGGTGGGTTTTTAAGTAAGATGTGTTTTCGTTTATAAATCCATAGTTCACTTGTATGCCACAAGGTTCTTTGCAGCTTACTGACATCATTTGAGAACAGAACGACACAATTGGCAGCTCTGTAGCAGATGTGTATGCATCGCTGTGTGATTTACAAGTTTTTAAATGATCAAATCTCCTGCGGAATAAGGTCAGTGATACGTTTTTTACTACAAGAAACGTATCCGATGACGACATTCATCGCTAGATGACTGAAGGATTTATACGTAAAAATGGCCCTCGAATATTTACACTTTTCCTTCAATGAACCAGGAATAAAATAAACAAATGGAAAATTATGAAATTTTACTATAAAATTATATAGCTACATTTCTATACACAATATTCAACATTATCAACACAATAGTGAGAAATACCGTTGCTACAACTAACAATAAATTGTACATATACACAAAATAATATTATCAAGGTACCTACATTGAAATTAGTACATTCTTCTTATCTATACAACCTTTGGGAGGGAGGGATAGAATTTAAAAGGTCAAACCTAGACAATATATCTTAAGTAAATATTTCAAATGATTTTACAGTAAGACTTAAAGAGTCCCAATTATTTGCATTTGTTTGGTTCAACTTAGAAAATTGCGGAAGGCTAACTAACTAACAAATGACGTGTGCGCTCACACAAGTATGTGATTCATCATGTGCAACGTAAATAACGATGTATCTGTTTGTCTTGCTCTGATTTGTACATATAGATATTATTGTATTCATGTTTTGTTTATACAGCAGTAGTTAACTTATTTTGCAAATATGTGAGATTTAGCGGTTTTGAAATGTATCCTTTAATCCTTGTACTTCTAATTATTCTTCTTTGAATTTACTTTTGTTTACAAGTTCCGTCCTGAATGGTAGTTCAAAGTAGCGTTCAACGAGATTATTATTGTCACTTAACTTGCGTTATTTTCAAAAGATAGGAAAGTAGTGCTTAAAGTTAGTAGTGTAGCATTGACGATAGCTGAAGAATAGAATTAATCAAATATGTTTAGGCCTAAGTGGTTGAAATCATAAGTTGTCTCTTGGGCCTGAGCATGTAAAGTAACGGTAGTCATAAGGGTCATATAAAAGGGAATCACGTTTTAAGGTTGGAGGGTTTTAAGGTCACGTCAAACCCCTAACCCCCTCTGGATACGCCACTGCTTCCTTTAACAAAGATGTAGACAAATAAAGATTTCCAAATGAGGTTAATGATAAGATGTCATTGTGTATTAAAATAATGAAAAATAATATAAAAATTACCTAACACGTTGAGGAGTGTAAAAGACGTTTCCAGCTTATGTGCAATTTCCCAAGCAACATACAAGTATAGCCTTTACTGATGCAGTAGGCAGTAAGACAAGATAAGTAAACAGTTAAGCTAAAATACAATTTAGAGGGACTTTGATTATTACGACGAAGAGTCATTATGGTCAATTCACAACTAATCATTAGTTTCAAGCTATGTCAACTATTGTTTTAATTTTAAGTGGCACATGGATTCACTATATAATGTTTTGATTTTAAACACCTTACTGAAAATAAACATTTAATTACTCAGCTAGGCACTAACACATGTTTTATTTAGATAGGTTTTAAAAATCTGTAACATGTACACATTGCATTTTGGGAAAACTAATTACTTAAAAATTTTCCTCTTTATCATGATTGAAAGATTTTGAAATGTACCAAAATCATATTTTTGAAGTATTCAATTCCCCAAAAGGTGGGACAGAACAACAAAACTGTTAGATATTACTCCTTACTGAGGTCTTCTTTTGCTATACCAACAAGTGGTTTTTTTGTCATGACGATTTTGTCGTAGATATAGTTTATGGATTTTCTTGAGCTGAAGAAGGGTGGCTTATTATTTCTTATAGGCCTAGGGCAGACTCAAAACCTGAATTTTCTCAATGATTTAGTTATTATTGTCACAAATCAAAGAAAAATTTAGTACTGACCAATACAATTTGTGAGCTAAAGTTATGAAAAGAAAAATACACAGTAAACTTACAAATAACAAATCTTTTACTGATTTAACATATTTACAATAATAAAACATTTAGATTCTTTACTGACATGGCTCAAATATATACAATAAAATTATTTGCTTCTTTAACTTAATCCGGTACAAGCTATTTACAATTGCTTGGATTCTACATCTGTATTTAAGTAACAGTTTTTAGACATTTACAAAATAATGGTAAGAAACCCACACCAACAAAACAAAACCATGAAGAATGATTAACTTTCAATGGTGCCACAGACAGTGATATTATTGCACAAGGATTTCAGTGCAATTCAAAACTAATAAACCCCTTTTTGACAACTAGAACTATAGAGTGAACAAATAGATAGGTGCCTAGAAATGTTTTTTTTTTTAGATTTACCAAAATCACAGCAGACACTAAAATACTCAGTTCTCAAAAAACAGCTATTGTATCACTCATTAACACAAAATACCAGGCTGTTCAGAAAGTAAAGAAGATTTTCGCCTGACGCCGATAGTCAAGTACTGTTTTCACACTTTCTAGAAAATGAGTTCACCTTGTCAATAACTGTCCAGAACTATGGAAAGGTTAGAAAAATCTAATAATTTACCCTCTTGCTTTAACTAAAATACTTTTCTATATTTTAACCCTATAATTCTAACCCTACTGCTTTAATTTTTATAGTTCTGAGTTAGGCTATACAAAGGGTAGAATCTTAAAGACTTAATATCCGAAAAACCCTTTTAGAAAATTTTAAATGAAGAAGTTTTTTGATAGGATATACTAACTCAGATTTATTTTACGATATAAAATATTATATACACATTCCCAACCATATTGTGGTGTTTATCCTAAGAATGATTTGAAAAATGGAAACAGTACATAATCCAAGCTGGAGAAAATTTCATGAATAAAATTTAAAAAATTAATTCAAATCAATCAAATTAAACTGGGAATAGTGTACTTGTTTTAAGACTTATTTTTTTATTTGATTAATTTTTAACAAGCATAATGAACAACAGTAAATCCAAGCTGTTATATTTATTTGCATCCATTTTAAAAGGCCTAAATAACTAAGAATTCATTTTGCAACACAAAAACTAAATAATTAATTACCTTTTGATTTACAATTTTCTTTGTGCTAAATCAATTACAACAATGAATAAATATTTTCTGAAATCAAAGGTTCAATCACCTAAGAAAAATAACCTCAATAATAAATTTCCTCTTTTACCTCAGGAAATATACACACTATTTAGTAGCTGAACTTCACCAAAACATATCCAGTCTTGCGATTTAAAAATTACACTTGCGAGGAACATTCTATTATTAAGTTACTTACTAATACAGAAATCGTTTGTGAAAACTGAAATGTTCAATCGAAGAAACCTCAATAGCAATTATTTTAAATCTATCTCACAAAAAAATACACAATATTTTTGTAGCCTAATACTACCACAATATATCCAGTCTTTCAAACTTACACAATCAAGGGAAAAAATATACCATGGTAACTTATGGCAGTGAACCAAGACTTGACTATTAGTCCAAGTAGTGAAAAATACAGTGGTGGTTCACATACGCTTATGACCTACGCTGGCGCTACTGACTGCGCCGGGACTAACTGGTATGGCAGTTGTAGGTGGGGCCGCTGGCTTCGTCCCCGCTCTCTTCCCCGCTGCCCACTCTCTGATATCCCATGCCCATAAGCACCACGTCGAAGGGATCCGCCTTCATACGACGCTGGTTTGATGAGGCGGCTGCGTCTTTGTCACGTACCTCGTGGGTGTTCTCTTGATTCTGGTGAAGAAAAAAACTTAGTAGTGTTAAATTTTCAATTTTTTTATAGGGAGATATTTGAATAATACTTCTCAGATGAAAGACCCATATGCGACTCTATCCTATTTTCTTTGGGAGAAATTTGTTGACTGTCAAACTAAATTAATCAATAACTATTGACAAATGCATTAGGGCTTTAAATCAGAAGTGGAGTCAAGCAATCCGTCTAATAATGCTCGTTGAAAGCAATTGTTCACTATTAGACTCAATATCTGATTTCAGTTGCAGTCACATTAGGTATACAGGTCTGTTTCCAATTAAATTTCCACGAGTCACTAATCCCTCAATTTTGGATGGTTCAAATATTATTACTTTGTGTTTGTAGCCCTAGAAACTCCCTTAGGTAAACACCACAGCTATGACTATCTCAATACTAGCACAATATGTTTACAGCTAAATATAATTAAAATCGTCAAATCAGCTACAAATTCAACAACGAAATGACATATATTGTAGTGTTTGAAGATAAAATGTGACCGAAACAAAACACTTTGGAAAAGAGAAAAGATTAGATTGGACTTATGCGTCCCTGCACAGTGAAGGAAACTCGCTTATGGGACGAACACACGCCCTTTCAGCTCTGGTATGTTGTGCCAGAAATATACTTGACGAGCAAGGAAGAGCCTTAGCGGTGAGCACTGAACAGAGTCTAATTGGTCTTTCTCTATCGTGAGCGTAGATGACGGCAAGCATGTTGTTGGACTTTGCTCTAGACTTCAGGAATAGTGCTAGACATAACTTAAGAGTGCCATTGAGTATTTCCTCTGTACCTTACTTCTCTGTGCCTGGACCTAATTGGGTCTTTAGTCAAGCCATGTCTAGGAATTATGGGGATGGATCTGGTAAACACTATTGATTTATCTCTTTGTAAGGGTTGTGTGGTCAGTGATATACCAGAATGTATATTTTACTGTAAAGATTAGTGAATGACCATACCTCAGGTAGTGGGGACCAAAGCCTTACAAGGGGGTCAATACCACTACTGGCCAACAGACAGTACGTAGGGTGCGGTTGTAGACAGTTCACTATGGAGCTATCGCCTCGCAGTATCCTCACGTTGTTGGTCGTCCGCCGGTCCCAGAAATACACTGAACCGTCGTCTGAACCTGCGATGATGTATTGTCCTTCACTGGTACAGAAAATTTTAGGGTTAAAATTAAGGAGGAAGTAATGGATACACATCCAACTTACCTATATAAGAAAAGATTTTCTGATAAATAAAAGCACAAAGAAACTTGATATAACAACCCCACAAGGGGCTTCTGCAGAAGAAGAAGCTTTTTCCTCCAAAAACCTTATACAAAGATTACGATTTTATTTTCAAAATTATCGTTTGATTTATTTTGAATGATCTGGAGAATTTTTGAACATTAAAATATTCAAAAATCAGCTAAAAAAATGATTAACAATGTAACACAGGTTTACCGGAAAGGAAAAGGCTCCACTCCAACACAATATGACAGAAACAAATTTTTACACACACACAAAAATCAGAATATTTCACTGTCACTGACAGAATTTTTCAAACCAAGAAAGGTTTAAGTTGGGAAAACTTCTACTAGGTTATTTCAAACAACTATCCTCTTATTGTTGTTCCTAACTTGAATTTTCTATGGCTAAAACTTATTTCAATGGGGAATTTTTGTATTTCTTTGGCCGGAGTAGACACTTTTTCATCCAGGCAAGCCCACTATCCTAAAAAAGTCTTAAAATTAAAATAAAACATTGTGCAAAATTATTACAACTGGATTATTGCCTAACATTACCATATTTCTATCGTTATTTCCTCGAGGTCTTGAGAAGATCCTAATTTTATTTTGTTTAGCAACCCACTTTTGTTTTTGTTAGGTCTGATAACTTACACTTCACTAGGGTAAAACAAAATAAACAATCAAAACAATGAAATCACAGGGTCAAATCCTGCAACAGTAAATTTTTGTTTGCTATAATGTAACTGCACTTTGCTTAAATGTATATCATCTTGTCATTTGCAAAAATTATTGTACTAAATTAAGTCATCATATTGTAAACTTGTTTATTTATGTCTTAAATAAAATAATTGAATTGAATAGGCTGACCTGCCAAAGAAATTAGCCTCCTTGATGTCGGTGGTGGTGTTGCAGTGGCCATAGAATCGTTTGTCATAATCGTATGAACCTTCTCGCCAATGTCGCTCTTGTGAAGAGATGCGACTGAGAATACCGTCCAAACCAAGATCTCCGTCCTTTGCCATCTCCAAGTCGTCTGAATCTGGAAATTAAATTTAACGGTATCAGCAATCTGACACATACTTTCTCCCATTAGCTTGCCACAGCCGTTATCATAGGTAAGAGGAGGGAGTAACTATGATATTTTATGGGGAAAATCACAATAGTTACAATAACTTTTGAACCGTAATTTTTTGCAATGGAGGATCGTACCATTTTGTTAGAGGTAAACGCACTATAAAATACCAAAATCTTAATACAAATCGTTGGGGCGTATTTTAAAAATACAGTTTTTTTCAATATTTTGATGGGAAATAACTGCTGAAATAAAAATTTCTGAAACATGAAAAAACCTGGAGATATCATGGATTACTACCGACATACAAAATTTCATAAAATCCAGACCACGGACGTGGTCTGCAACTCTATAAACATCCACACACACGCACACACACAGACATCACTTCTACGACCACCTTTTTGGGTTCTGGAGCAACCAAAAAGGAGATATCCTCCCAAAACTGAAACTGGAAAATTGTTGACAAAAGCAATACGTGCTCCACATACTATTGTATACGGGGGAAAAGTAAGGATTTTAGATTAATTGGATGTACGATGTTTATTTACTGCGTTATCTGACTTAACTTTGTACTTAACTTTGCTAAGCTGTCTCACCTTCCTCCGAGCCCTCTGGAGACGAGGACATGGTCGCCATGAAGATGTCCTTCTCCAGCGCTCTGCAGGCGTGACTGTTGACGTGGTTGGGAAACCTCTGTTTGAACATCTCTAGACACTGCTTCGCTTCGTCCGTCCAATGAAGCTCATTCAGACATCTCGCTAATCTGTCGATAAAATTTGATGTTGAAACCACTTTTATACAGTGTTGGGTGAGTTTGTTAGATACATTGCGTGTTTTGAAACCCAGCCTAAGTTGGAAAATCACAAAAGAAAACACAGAGAACTGTAGAGTAGTCAAAACAAGATTTATACAATGCTGAATGATTCTTCATTTTTTGGGTACCTAGAGTGAAAAACATAGTGGCTGACACACATAAAGGCATATGATGATTATTATTATTATCGATAGACATTATCAATTGATATGATACCGTAATAATAATGTTGATAACAGCAAATCCTCAGTTAACCTGTCAATTAGGAAATTTAAACTTTTAGAAAAAAGACTAAGGATGTACGGGTATCGAAATTTTGAGAAATTTTCGGGAAATTTTAAATCTTGTTCTTTCAGACAAGATTTAGTTTTGATCGAGATTTTTCAAGACAAGATGAAAGAAAAAACAGTCCAAAATGCCTGCAGAAAGTCAATGCAACACCGCAATACAAGAGTGCGTTGTTGTTGTGTTTCCTTTGTGAAGGCTTTCTTATTTAATTAATTCTTTACATGTAAATATTGCTTTAATTGTTTTATAATTTTTTTTTACATTGCAAATTATGAGAATTTTGTTAAATGTAAACAGCGTGAGACATGTTTTACTACTGTAAACATAGACAAAATAATTTGCTCCAAAATAATTCTACAAATAACACAAGATGACAATCAATTCCCCCTATATAAAAATGTGATGTTAATTTCCTCTATGTAGGCCTATACAATTCTGCGACTTTTCACTTTTTAGGGACATAAAATCTAACTGAAATTTTACGGACTTATCTGGAAGGATATTTAGGACGTAGACACTTCAATATTTATAGCTAATTTATAACTGTTTTAAAAAACCTAGGTTACTTCAGAAAAAGGATATACAGGATGTGAATTAACACCAAAATAGTGTCTTTGTTTTTGCTTGCAATTTGAAAATTGGAAATCACCAGTAAACTAGTACCAACCTAAAGAAGGCCTTGACGTGGTTACAGTCGAGATGTAGAGTTGTGTGGCAATCCCTTAGTGCTGCGTACATATCTCCATCCCTACAACGCAAAATATAACTGATAAAACTTATGCATAACAAGTATAACACCATAACAAGCACAACCCAATGAGTAGAGCATAATATTAGGCCTATTATTGTAACAGATTTGTATTGTGTTGGCAATCTTTTACTGGTGTACATGTTAGCGGCAAAGTGTATAACGAAGGCATTCTGTAGCGATTCTATGCATTGCCTGAAGCTTGATGGATAGATTAGGTTAGGTTGGTGATTTGAGTTAATTTTACATTACATTGGCTAGTGCTATAAAGGAATTAAAAGTCTAAAAAGTCCTTTAGAAAAATTAAATATTTTGTGTATGGTCAGGTTAATTTTTTTTAGATTAGATAAGAATATGCCAAACAGTGCACAAAAGTCTAAAAATGTCCTATAAGTGGGTATTTAATCATTTGCCTGCAGTGTCAATGGGTTTTCTATAGAATGAATAGGCAAAGTCTATAATGAACTCTTATTTTCTTTTCCAGTGTTCATTTTAGGCAATGTAAGGAATGTCTGATTGTATACTATGTAACAAATATACATTGTTAGCGTCTGGTTCAGATAAAAATATTGGTTAAATACTTGTTATCCGAATTATTCAGTTTTTTATCAGGCGATGATTGGTTTTCAACATACAGGTTCATCATCTAGTTGAATATCAAATCAAGGTTAATTCTCTTCATCACTGACATTAATGCTTAGAGTCGCAATAACAAATATATATAACATGTGGCATTCCTAGCAAATGGCCAATCAAGTCTTTCACCCCTAACCCCAAAGCCCTTAACTTAACCAAGCAATACAGCCTATGTACACACCAATCCCTCTTCATGTATGCAGCTGCTCTGTTCCCGTACAACACTGGACTGCTAGCGTAGTGCTGAATAGCTTCATTGTAAACTCTGATGGCCGGCCCATACTCTTCCTTCTCAAACAGCATGTTTGCCTGCAAACAAAAAATTGATAGGCGTTGGTGGATTTCAATAGTTTTCAACTCTAAAGCAGCGTTTTAAGGTTAGTAGGCAGGTAGGTAGCAGGGCAGGTTACCTGCATCTAGTGAGGCAGGTAACCTACCTGGCTTCTTGTAAACACTGAAAAGTGAATGTTTAGACATTATGATAAAATAACGTAAAACTATATAATAATAAAATAACAGTCAATACACTGTGTCAAATATTTTGGCAGAAGTCTGGAGCAGTTTAACTTGAACTCAAATCAATCCAAAAAATTACAAACAATTATTGAAGAGATCCATATACCATAGTTTACTTTAACCAAACCAACACTTCAAAAAACGCAGCCAAACGCTCACCGTAAGTTTCATAGCCTCCACATGGTCTGGGAGTTTAAGTTTGCTGTCGTCCTTTTTAGAACTTGATGTAGAATAACCGTTTGTGCCAGGATGGTATCCGTTGCTGTATCCGTTTGACGTGCTGCCATGATCTAAAAAAAACGTGTAAGCATTAAGTTTTTATAATCAATTATCAATCATTGAGATGGGGACACCACTTGGGTGTGTATTTGAACCCAAATATGTGTGAAGGATGAGTGTAGAATGGTGTTGGTGTGTGATGACTTGTGATTGTGAAGCTTTGTTACTAAGATCAGCGGTTTCATTAGTCAGGATCATTTATTTAAAGCCCAATGATCAGGAACAGCTGGGTCCAGTTTCGAACCATCAAAAAGCTACTGACTTTTCTCAGGATCGAACCGGCAATCTTTTGATTACTAGGCTAGCCCTATAACCTCTCAGCTACCCAGCCAGTTAACATACATACTGTTATGAGTTATATTACTTCAACTATTTTGTTTTTATAGTTGGTAGTCTTGAGTAGCGGGGATGTCTCTCTGCGTAGAGATCATCGTCCTTCTTCTTAATTTTGTACTCCAACGTATAACATCTAAAAATGTAGAACATGCTGAATTGAAGATGTATTAAAGAGTCTTAGTCTGACTTGGTGTTTTATTAATCATATATTTTAATTAAAAGTAAGAGTACATCATGGCGCAGTCTGAAGAAGCGACACTCCCAAGGTAATAAGTCGAGTGTGTTTTATAGGACTTAAAAATGGTGTGTAGGCCTAGTCGACCTCACATGTTCAGGATTGCAAGTTCCGTTTTAAAAATTCAATTAAGATGTCTTTTAAGCCTCCCAAGCCTCTAAATATTGATGACAATGTTTCGGTGGGATGGACTCTCTTTAAAAATCAATTCCAATTGTTTCTAACGGCCACTGAGGCCGATGCTAAAAGTGACCATGTAAAGGTAGCTCAACTGCTGAATGCGATTGGACCTGATGCATTATCAATATTTTTCACTTTTAAACTGGGGGAAGTTTCCACATTAAAATTAAAAGATGTTTTGAGTGCTTTTGATAAACATTTCTCTCCAAAATCTAATGTTGTCTATCAAAGATATTTGTTTCACAAGCGATCTCAGGGTCTGGGGGAGCCCTTTAATAGTTTCCTTACTGACCTTAGAAAGTTGGCTATCTACTGTGAGTTTGGGAGTGAAGAGGATAATATGATTCGTGACCGGATTGTAATGGGCATTAATGACCAGTCAACACAAGAAAGGTTCCTTCGTGAAACCGATTTAAAATTAGAAGACACAATCAAGTTTTGTAGGTTAGTTGAAGCTAGCCGAGAGCATGTTTCGAGCATTTCGAAAGACAAGGCCTTAGTTGGCCTAGAGTGTAGTCCTGTACAATCATCTAGTACATATTCCCAAGGTATAAAGACGGAGAATGTAGTCCATAGTGTGGGTCGTGGTAACTCAAGATGTCCGAACAATAATAAATTTAAAAAGTACTCTCTCACGGGTAGTAAAAGTTCGAATTTCAATAGGCCTTCAAGTGGTAACGGTAAGCAAAATTTTGATTCACAGACTAGGACTGAATATTTGTGTAAGAAATGTAACACCAAACATCAAGCAGCTCAGTGTCCAGCCTATGGTAAAACTTGTAACTTATGTCGTAAAATGAATCACTTCTCTGTAGGCTGTTTTAAAAATAAGAATAATAGGCCTAAACAAGTTAATGATGTACTGGTGTATGACGATGAAGAGTTTAGGATTGATTCCATATCTAACAATCAATGTAAACTTGCTTGGTTTGAAAACTTGTGTATTAATGGACAAAACATTAACTTTAAGCTGGATAGCGGAGCTGAAATCAACATATTACCTAAACATGTTGTTGAACAAATTGACTCTGAGTTATTGGACTTTGTAGTCAAATCTAATGTAAAATTGGAATCTTTTGGTGGCTTTCAACTTAACACTTGTGGTGTGCTCAGTCTAAATTGTACATATAAAAACATTACAACTAAGGAAGACTTCATAATCGTAAACAATCTCAAAAGTATCCCGATTGTTGGACTTGGGACTTGTGTTAAACTAGGTCTCATAAAAAGGGTAAATGCTGTCGAAGAGTTGACAAAGGAGAGTTTTGTTCACCAAAATGCAGATGTTTTTTCAGGATTAGGTTGTTTTAAAGGTAAGCATAGTCTTAAAGTGAATCCTGATGTACAGCCAGTTGTTAAGCCTCCTCGTAGAATTCCGTATTCTGTTATGCCGAAACTGAAAGACACTCTTAACGAACTGGAAAGATGTGAAGTTATTAAAAAAGTCAATGAACCATGTAATTGGGTGAGTAACATTGTCATAGTTGAGAAAAGTGATAAAACTTTAAGAATTTGTCTAGATCCACAATGTCTAAATGTAGCATTAGTTCCAGAGCCATTTATGATTCCCACTATTGATGAAATCAAAGCCAAACTGTCTGGTAAAAAGTATTTTTCAGTATTTGATTTGAAAAATGGGTTTTGGCATATCGCACTTGATGAAGAATCCAGTCACTTGTGTACTTTTAGTTCCCCGTATGGGTGCTATAGGTTCTTAAGACTTCCTTTTGGGTTAAAGGTAGCACCACAAATGTTTCAGAAACTAAATTCCCAGATTTTTTCTGACATCAATGGAGTAACTGTGTACTTTGATGACTTGCTTGTAGCAGCTGAATCCCTTGAGGAACATGATACTATTGTAAAAGAAGTGCTAGGTAGGGCTAGAGCTAATAATGTTAAGTTCAACCCAAAGAAAATTCAATATAAGATGAATAAGGTGAATTTTTTAGGCCTATGCTTTGGCTCAGAGGGTGTACAAATAGATGAAAGTAATATTAAAGTTGTGTTAGAATTGCCGGAACCTACTAGCAAGAAGGAACTTCAATCCATGCTTGGCCTATTTAATTATTTTCGTGAATTCACCCCTCACATGTCTACCTTGACCAGTCCCTTGCGTGAATTGTTAAAAAAAGATATTGAATGGTCTTGGTTGCCTGTTCACTCAGAGTGTGTAAATAAGTTAAAAGAAGCAATAACGTCAGCGCCTGTTTTGGCGACTTATGATAGTTCTAAGCCGGTTGAGGTCCATTCTGATGCTAGTAAAAATGGTCTTGGATGCTGTATAATGCAATGTGGTAGGCCAATCTCGTTCGCTTCTCGCAGTATGACATATACCGAGCAGCAGTATGCTCAAGTGGAAAAGGAATTACTTAGTATCGTATTTGCTGTTACTAGGTACCACAACTTGCTGTATGGTAACAAATTTGTTGTGTATAATGACTCAAAACCCTTGGAGTCCATGATGAAAAAGCCAATTCACAAAATTTTATCACCTAGGTTACAGAGGTTAAAATTAAAATTAATTAAGTATGACCTAGTTTTGAAATACTGTCCTGGTAAACAAATGGTTGTTCCTGACGTGTTGTCTCGCACTTGTAAGCCCAATGAGAATTGTGTTAGTGTAAATGTAATAGAAAATGTGGTACCTTATGTTTTACCAATATCAGAAAATAAAATGGTAGAATTTCGAGAAGCAACAGACAATGACACAGCTCTCAGCCTTGTAAAACAATATTTCAAAAGTGGCTGGCCTTCAGACAAAAGGTCTCTACCAGAGTGTGTAAAGGTTTACTTTGGTAAACGTGGTGATTTGTATGTATTTGATGGCCTGGTATTTTTAAATGATAAGATTGTTGTCCCATGTAGTTTAAGAAAAGCCATGTTGGATCTGTTACATGAAAGTCATCTAGGGTGTGAAAAAACAAAGTCTCGAGCTAGGCAACTGTTGTACTGGCCTGGTATGTCTGTAGATATTGATAATCTTGTGTCTAGTTGTACTCTTTGTCAGAAATTTATGAATGCAAATGCTAAAGATAACCTAATGTGTCATGAGATACCTGATCTACCCTTCAACAAAGTAGGTGTGGATATTGCAGAATATGGAGGTAAAATATTCCTCGTTGTAATTGACTACTACAGTAAATGGCCAGAGTGCCTTGAGTTAAAATCTAAGACCACAACAGATGTGATACGTGAGCTCAAGAAAGTATTTTCAGTTCATGGTATACCAGCCAAGGTCATTGGTGATAATAATCCCTTCGGTTCATATCAGTTTAAACAATTTGCCTTGGACTGGAATTTCAAAGTTGTAAATAGTAGCCCGTTGTACCCCCGTTCTAATGGTCAGGTCGAAAAAACCGTTCAAACTATCAAAAAACTGGTTAAAAAATGTAGTGAGGATGGCAAAGATGTCGAGATTGCTCTCTTGGAGCTACGTAACACACCTGTTGTAGGCAATATGTCACCAGCTCAAATCCTAATGTCTAGGAGGTTACGAACAAAAATCCCAATATCGGCTAGATTGTTGAGACCTGAAGTTTGTGATAGAAATGTTGTTAATAAATTATTATATGAGAAGCAAACAAAAGCAGTATGGTATCATGATAGAAATAGTCGCCCTAGGCGAGAGTTCAAGGTCTCGGATGAGGTAAATGTGTACAACGTTCGCTCCCGTGTGTGGGAACCAGGTAGAATAATAGGCTTAGCCAAAACCCCTAGCTCATATTATGTTAGGCTGAGTCATAGCGGCTCAACTTTACAGAGGAATGCAAGTCACTTAAGATTAAGGAAAATTAAGAGACCACTTGGTAAATATTCTGGTCAAATAGTAAATCCTAGTGTTACCTATCCTATGTCGCCACTGTTACCCAAAGCTGGTTCGCCTAAAAACAGAATTCCTATGCCTACTCCCTTGCTATCAAACAACAGAAACTCAGTGCCATCTACTCGCACGAGTTCTGTTAGTCCTAGTAAGAATCTTGAACCTAATCCTACAACCACTGTTCATGAGACGCCTGTTAGGTCTGGCCCGAGTAGGCCTAATTCTAGGTTTGGTAGAGTTATCAGACAACCTGAAAGATTTAAAGATTATGAGATGTAAGCTCTTGTTGTTTATGGAAGAATATTTTTATTTTAGAATCCAAATGTTTAGTTAAGTATTTGTGGTAAATGGTCACAGATTTTTTATTTTGTATTAATGAAAATATCTTGCTGATTTGGTTCTGCAGGTTAGAATTTTAAAGATAAATTAATTTGAGTACGGTATCAAATGTTTTTAATTTCACTTGTAAGATGAATTTTAATTTTTAGTAAAATGTTAGGCTATGTTGATTTTTTAAAAATGTACTTGTTTTTAATTTCACATGTAAGATGAAGATGAATTTTAATTTTTAGTAAAATGTTAGGCTATGTTGACTTTTTAATAATGTACTTGTTTTTAATTTCACATGTAAGATGAAGATGAATTTTAATAAAATGTTAGGCTATGTTGATTTTTTAATAATGTACTTGTTTTTAATTTCACATGTAAGATGAAGATGAATTTTAATAAAATGTTAGGCTATGTTGACTTTTTAATAATGTACTTGTTTTTAATTTCACATGTAAGATGAAGATGAATTTTAATAAAATGTTAGGCTATGTTGACTTTTTAAAAATGTACTTGTTTTTAATTTCACATGTAAGATGAAGATGAATTTTAATAAAATGTTAGGCTATGTTGACTTTTTAAAAATGTACTTGTTTTTAATTTCACATGTAAGATGAAGATGAATTTTAATAAAATGTTAGGCTATATTGATTTTTAAAAATGTACTTTTAATTTCACATGTTTAAGATGAATTTGTATTAAAATGTTAGGCTAATGTTGATTTTTAAAAATGTACTTGTATCAATTTCACATGTTTAAGATGAATTTGTATTAAAATGTTAGGCTAATGTTGATTTTTTAAAAAATGTACTTGTCCAATTTCACATGTAAGATGAATTTGAATTTTTATTAAAATGTTAGGCTAATGTTGATTTTTTAAAAATGTACTTGTCCAATTTCACATGTAAGATGTACTGTTTGTTTCTTTTACTGTTGTTCTAAAAGTACTGTTTATTTCTTTAATAAAAAGGGGAAGTGTTATGAGTTATATTACTTCAACTATTTTGTTTTTATAGTTGGTAGTCTTGAGTAGCGGGGATGTCTCTCTGCGTAGAGATCATCGTCCTTCTTCTTAATTTTGTACTCCAACGTATAACATCTAAAAATGTAGAACATGCTGAATTGAAGATGTATTAAAGAGTCTTAGTCTGACTTGGTGTTTTATTAATCATATATTTTAATTAAAAGTAAGAGTACATCACATACAGAAATACATACAGAATAGGATACAAAATGCAATCATAATGGACAGATTTACTTAAAACTTTTATCACAAAAATATTAAATTGCATTATGGAAGTATTAACACTTAGGTTAAAAAGAAAGTTTTGATTAGTTCCTAAATTTTGGTTGAGTGTACTTTCTAGTTCATGCTTCAATGTAAGAAGATCTAGTTTGGAATGTTGCCTTCAAAAGAGAGTTACAAAACTGCCTTTAAATAGCAATCATTAATCGCCAAATAACAGATCAATTAAAAACTTTTGTGTGGGCTACTCAAATAATAGCATTATCTACAGTTGTTTTCCTAACTTAATTTCAAACTTAAGAAAATAAACATACATTTAAAATAAAATTTATCAAACCTTTTTCACCTTTAGAGAAAGATGGTTTGGGCAGGTCGAAAGCCTTTGGCTTTTGTTTACGAGTGATGTCAAACAAGTAGATCTGTTCACCACCGAGGTTGAGAAGGAGATCAGTTCCTTTGGAGCCAAAGGTGACGTAAGTTGCGGCTAAATTTCGGAACTTCTTCTGTAAGTCTTTTTGTTTCACTGGTATGTGACCTGAAAATAATAATGATAAAATTATGGTTTGGAGCTCAATGGGTAAAGTAAATTATGTTAAAAGAGCGTTTTCCACCAACTTTACGAGCTAAACTTTACGAGCTACACGATTAAGATAAAGAATGCGGAACAGCTAAAAACAACAGGGTTAAAATAGGTTGCAGCGCAAAAGTGTTTTCAAACCCGCCTATGTGTTGCGTGACAAACTAACTGAAGTTTTTGCAGTTCTTCAGTACAGTAGTGTTCTGCTGTGTATCTGAGAATGAACTGTCTATTTTTGTTGATTGTCAAAAGAGGAAGCGATGGACAAAGATGTTGACACAACCCTAGATTTACAGTCCAAAATTTGAAAATCTTGTTGTGAACGGTGAGACTAGGAGCCATGAGGGTACTTTAAGTAATCTAATCAATTAACACCCGATAGATTACTCATTAATTTACCCGATTAATTTTACTTCATCGTAAAATTAAAGGAACACTTTAGGTTAAAAATAAGTTTTTCTGTACTTTGTATCCAACAAAACAGAATGAAACAGAACTTCAAACTCAGACACACAGTAAATTAATAAACTGTTTTCATCAACAGTGAACTTTTTTATTTATTTATAATTAATTTTACTTAAGTAATTTCACTCAAACTAAAATATAAACAGTATCCCAGTTTGGCAGGGTTGACAAGTGCTCAAGTGCTGCACAGTAGGAAGTTAGTCATGCTCTGAGTCACTAAAATAGTCTCATTGGTTTTAAAGGAATTGGTGGATTCGGCAACCGCAAAGTACGAAGCACACTAATGGTTAATCGTGCCGCTACAAAAACGCCACTTAAATAAATTTTCTCTACGAATAAAAACTGTGGTCCATGAACGAACCAAAAACATTAATAGCATTATATTTATAGTTTTCCATAGTAATAGTTGTAATCCGACCTGCCACGAAGTACTGCACACACTCCCGGGGCAAGTTGTCCTCTAGCTCCAATGGTTGGGACGGAGGAACGTTCAGTCGAGCTCTCTGACTGTGGAGACTCTCGGACAAGTATATCTGCGGAGCAAAAGTCAATAAATATTAACAACTGATATAGACTCTGTACAGTACAGTAAGAATGTTTTAAATGTACGTTAAAATGACACACAAAAAAAGAAATAACATGAAGGACTTGAAATGTTTACATTTAATTAGCATTTTGGTAGTATCTGTTACACAACTATGCTGTACCAGCCCAGTAAAGAATTGTTGATCTCTGAAGTAGTGGGAAATGATGGATTGTGTCAATCAGCTGATCGGGTAATAGATTGTTCCTGATTCGTACATTATTTGTGGTAGGGGTGTGCGATGCATAAAAAATGCATCAAAATTCTGATTTGATTTGATGCAATTAATTGCGATTCGATTCATTGGTGGTCAAAAAACAATTTGATTCATGAGGGAATCAGTATCCATATACGAAAAACGCCTGCAGAAAATCAATGCAATACTCGCAATACAGGAGCGTGTTGTTCTTGCGTTTCCTTTGCGAAGGCGTTCTTACTTAATAAATCAATATTTGTTTCTGCTTTGCACAACCTTTAGTGGTCAAACGGCAGGTATACTATTTTGTCTTCATATCACTCGTGATTATTTAAAATGTTTTCCCTGCCATTGCACTTTTAAGTTTTTTTTTTTTTTATAAATAGGAATACATTTTTCTAGTAATAAAAACAACTTAAATACAATTTTCAAACAATACAAAACTTTAAGTCTAATGTAAATCCAGCAAACACAAAATTTATTCACTTGAACAGTTGTAGCTAGCTTAAAAAAAGAAAGAAAAACATTGTTGATTACAATAATACTGTCATAAATAATTTTGGATGGCTAGTGTACCTTGGTAAGCCGGATCATTCTGCGGTCGTACAGCCTGACGTAGGGGTCGTTGGCTCCCACAGCCAGTATTTCCGGTCGCAGCGGATTAACAGCGAGACATTTCGCCTCCGCAAAGTGTCCGAGATGTGTCCTCAGGTATACCAAAACGTTAGTCACGTCTCCAGAACACGAGTGCGGACTGCGCATGTCATACTGCCTGTAAGAAATATTGTATGTTATTCAAAGAAAATGTAAAATACGGAAAAATCCCAATTTGTGAATAAAAAATGTTTTCTGATATCGTTAAAAAGCATGAACTGTGTAATTATACTTGGGTTCTAAGGCCTCTCTCTAAAAAAGTGCATTTTTTCTTTTGAAAACATTGATTATTTGACTATTTCAAAGCTCATAAAAAAAATGAAACAAGAAAACATACCGATGTAAAAAATTTATTTTTCTATACTACAAAACACTTTTTTAAACCTTTTAAAGTATGTTTTCAGTGTGAAAATGTTCCTGTTCCCACTGTCTATAGTTGCATTTTTTTGTGTCCAGTGTCCAGCAAAATTCAAACTTATCATTGAAATATTTTAGAACCAAGAAATTATGTTGAATTTAAAGATTGTATATCAATTACTTTACGGATGGCCGGTCCAACATTTTACAAAGGATGTTACAAAAGGAACAGATACATTCACATGCATTTTTTTTGCTTCCCCAAAAAAAAAAAAAAAAAAAAAAAACTATCTAGCACTCTTACTCTAGTCATAAGCATGTAGAAATTTCAGAAATCCATTAGGTACCTGACGGCTCCATCTTCAGAAGCGCTCCAGAACAGGAAGGGCACTTGAGGCGCAGTCGCCAACCGCTTTACTCGGCCTGTTGCGCATGCACACACCTGAGTCGTTTCCTTCAGCGTAACGTCTATCGTGTGCACCTGGAAGTCACCCGCTCCTGTGACCAGCGTATTGTCATTGGTGCCTGGTAGAAACTGCGGAAAAACAAAATTGGTCTAAAAGAAATGTTTTGAAATATCTGAAAACCTTTTAAAAGCCAGAGACTGTTCTGTTTATCTTCACCATGTATTTTTTTATATTTAAAGCACCTAGAAATCCAAATTCAGTAGACATTTTGTAATTTGGGAAGTTTGGATTTCAAAAGTGTTGGATGACCCAAAATCAATTACTGCTGTTTTATAAAAACTACAATTTTCATGAGAATGGCAGAAAATATAACTATAATATAAATATTGACAGTTTTGTTGAGTGCTGGTATCTGTTGGGTTCTTGGAAAACTACGTCCAAAACTACTGGGATGCAGTACATGTTATAATATGCCTCTCATTTGGATGAAACTAAATTCAAACGTTTTCACCCTACTATCCACTCAGCGCATTACCGGTAGCCAGTTGCTGTTCCCACAACTGGCCACGACCGCAGCAAATGTGTTATCAGTTGTTCAGACCTAACAGTCTACTATATTAACAATGAGCCTACTGATTACTCCGATGCCACAAAAGTATTTCAACGCTTGTTTTCCCAGTTACAGCACAAAACAGCCACAGTTGTCAACCGTAGTGTTATTCTTGCATAGAGCTTTCGTATGTTACTCTTTGACAAAGTGGATTTTGGGGGTTGTTGTACAACAATATCTACATCAGGTAGAAGTAGTAGGCTAGTAATAAATTACCCTGTTGTAAAAATTTAGTTTTAGTTTAGCATCTTACACTTCAACATTTGCAACACTAAACTCACCTTAACAGAAAATATATTTCCATGATGTATAGTTTGAATGGTTTGGATCTTCCGATGCCTGAAAGGATCCCAGAGAATGACTTGGAAATCATCCGAGGCCGAAGCCAAAATTCTGAAAATGAACAGTTGAATTGAGAATAATTTAAGAAAAACCTCAGAAAAGAAGAAATCAAATTGTTTTTGTGATAAAAACTAATTTAAATGAATGCAAGATTATCTATTGATTTTTTATAGTGAAGTAGACATTCTAACCACATATCTTTTGATTGGTTGGCTTGGGCACAGTGATTGCTTTTTACTTATAAGTGTAGGCATAGATAAAACATACTCCCTTAGTAGATTTCTCATCCTAATGGAACAGCTGAAGACAATTTTATTGTTAGTTCTGTACGGTTTATGTTAGAGGTCGTGTTTTGTTTACAATTTGTTTCCCGTTAATACAGTCATTTAAAACCTCGTTTAACCAAATAATACGATCTAATCATAAACAATAAATTGTCCCATAGTTATTTAACCAAACAGTAAAGCACAAATCAAGGAATTAACCCTAAAATAATAGAAACAAAATTTCGTCGACACTAGCGCCCAGTGTGGCGTACATGAACTAGACATGAAAAACGAGCTTCAAAATTTACAATGGAATGAGAAGTCTACTTGTGTTGGTTAGTCTATGGTGTAGGGAACCTACAACTAATAAATGCTTTGGGTATGTACCAGTACTGAATAAATATCCGACTTTAGGTGATTTCTCCTCGTCAACTAAACAATCCCAATTTATCAATTCACTTGTACTTGGAAACTTCCCAATGCATTAATCTTGCAGCTACAGTAACTAGTCTCATTATATACAAACTATCGTAGGATAGGGATAGCCTCCTCCCAAAGACTTCTCCACGGCGAACAATGTGACAACTTTACACTCGCCCAATTATTGTCATGGGTATGCAGTTACACTGAAATTACGCAATTGCAATGGAAGAGTGTCTAATATAAACCGTTATGAGGTACAGCTACTAAACGATTGCAGGATAGTGATCTAAATTACACAATCTGTTAAGTTAACCCTTTGTCTAGCCTATTATTCTGATAAATAATAAATGAACTGTACAAAGAAATTATTGAAAATGGACATGAGTTAGTAAAAGTAACAATAAAAGATTAAAGAGAAGTTACTTGAACTGAAGAATGTGCAGGCTGCCTGTATAGTAACAGTAACAAGCCCTAACAAAAGTGTAACATAAGCATTGTGAAGACACTCCATCATAAATTAGTGCTACAGCTGTTTCGGTAAGCAAATATGATATAACTGTAATTAACATCTGCCGGAACAAAAAGCCAATCATTAAGCTGTTCAAAATCATTATAGGCTTAAAGTTAAATCCTCATACTGTACATTTCTAAGTAATGTAATCTTCTGAAGTTAAACTAGTCTACAACAGGGTGTCAAAATTTGATTTAGCTCATTAAATCGTTTGACTAAATGAAATGGAAATGATTGTCTCTGGCTCACCGGCCTTCTGAGTTCCACTCTAGGCAGTTGACACATCCTTGGTGTCCTTCAAGCTCCTTCTCCAAGCCGAGACGGTGAACGAAGCTGTCGGTCACATGAAGCTTATGCTGAAGTTGATCTCTCACTCCCTCCTTAGTCAAAAGAACCAATCACAGTTTTGACAAACATTTTCCTAACTTTTTGTAGTTCAATTATATTAATTGTTTAACAAATTTTAAAAAAGTGGGTCTTAGGCCTAATTATTTATTAACTTAAATGTTGATTGGTGAACTTAGGTTAGGCCTAAGTGATCTAATCTTACCTATTGCCACAGCACTCATACTTTACAGAAAGTGCAAAACACAAAATGAAACTAATAAAATACAATGTAGGCCTAACTTAATTTATAGGCAATGTTGTTTGATGGACATGCCCAAATTTAATTTTGAAGAGTTTATCAGGGCTAGATTCAGTTTTGATCATTCACCAGAGCTATTTAGAATTGTGTGTTCTGATTTTAAAACGACAGCAAATGAAATAGGCTGAATAAGCAATAAAATGGGTTGTAAATACTTACATTGATTTCCCTCCTTTTGACATAATCAGCAACGTTGCGGTTGGGCATGTTTGTGGAATTTTACCAAGTATTCAGACACAGCTGTAAATTTTGAACATCACTTCTAACTAGAAGAGACAACCTGCAAGAAACAACTACTGTCATTACCACGCTACCAACTCATTAACATTAGAAAATAAATATGTTATCATAATGTTACTAACCAGTTCTAGAGTTGTTCCTCTTTTCATTGTCTATGCCTGTGGCCTTTTCAAAGATGTAAGTTACTTAAAAGGTTTTTGGGGAAGCGGTCCAACACCGTATGATTTGAATATTTGTTGAAAATTGAACCCATCCCTCCCGAAGTGTGAGGTGCCAACCACCAGGCTAGCAACACACCCTTAGGCTGCGGCCACACGGGCGTTTTTTTTTCACGCACAAACAAAGCGTGAAAACATGCAAAAAATTAGAGTAGCATTGAAACAAATAGGCGCCCGCTACTGGGGGAAAACACACTGCGTGTGGCATACCTCATTACATTTAATGCTGCTCATATTTCTCGCGTTTTTTCACGCTGCGTTCTTGAGTGAAAAAACGCCCGTGTGGCCGTAGCCTTAGGCTAATCCTTTACATTAAAAAATGTATCACTTAAGACACAAAGTACCCTAATAAAACTGAAAGAATAAACTTAATGATAAAGCACTGAGCACCCTATAAAACAATAGGCCTATGTTAACTTATATATCACTTGGGACATTAATAAATAAATTTAAGAGTTATATTTAAATATGAATCACTCAGTAGGCTATTAGGAATCAATTTGAAATGTTTTCAAAAGTCATTGATGAGGCAAGAGTCTTAAAGAGCTAGCTTCCATCAGCTTCAAGAAGGCCCAAGTTAATGTTCAATTTTAAAACTATTAGGTTAGGTACCTATTATATTACAACTATATTATATTAGGTACTTTACAAGCTAATCGCAACTTATCAGACTAAGTGATTCTCAAACCTAAGCTTTAGGAAAATAATTTGATGAAATTATACATGACGGTCATTCCAGTATTCTAGAGAGTAAAGTATTGTTTGTAGGTCTATTAATACGGTAATTCTTGACAAGCAGCAAAATGTTGAAGATTAAGTCACGTATACTGTTAGCAATTACATTTGATTTCTTTAATACTTGCCAAAATATTGATGTCTCCAGTTACCATTAATTTACAAGTATGCAGATGCAGTAATACAAAATTTGACAACCAAAACTAAACGAAAACAATTCATTCAAGGACATAGATGCTACGTTCATAAATCAGGTGTAAACAGTTGACAACTCCATACCAAACTCAAACTGACATCTTGAACAGCAAGAACAGAACAGCTGACCTGAGAGAGACATTGGTAAAAATGCCATGGAGAAGGCAAGGCATATTTTTACTTTTATACTTTTTTTATATCAGGGGTTAACAAACTGCCAAAGTAACTGTATAATAATAGTCTAAGGAATCGAGTAAATTACTGTCATAAGTTAAATAATTTTATTAGTTATGCTCATGTGGCATTATTTTATTGATAAGACTCGGGAGCATTAAAGTGGGGAGCAAAGTGATGTTGTTAATTTAAGCTTTATGAAAAATAATCAGCCTGCAGCAAAAACAAGAGTGAGTTGGGTAAAAAAGGGTTCATGTAGGAGATAGAGTATAGAGTTGAGTTGAGTTTGAGTTTGAGTTACTATCCCCTTACGGATTAGAGTTGAGGTTATGTTTACGTTTACATTTTTACAAGTGTGTAGTGTAGTGTGTAGAGAGCTCAGCAAAATCTACTTTTAGGGAATTAACTTAATTTAGCTGCGAATTTTCTCGAATAAAATGTCAAACCTTTCATAATACCTAAGCCTATTTTTCATCAAATAACCGATTAGTTTCAGTTATAAAGTTGGATTTAAGACCCAATGTAATTAAACATTGACTTAGCCTAGGCCTCAACTTTATCAGGTTTAAATCATTCAAACTTGAACTTAATAGACTTGTAAATTAAAAATGATTGTAAAGGAAGCGAAGCTAAGTCTCTTTTGTTTTATATCTCCTACAATATTGCCGGTATTGTCATTAATAACTCCACACTTTAGACTAGACTTATTGCATATCGATGTTTACAGCATCATATGGTTGATCTATTTAACCAACATTGTATTTATGAATCTCATAGTTTTTGTTCTGTTCAGTGGATATCTGTACCAGGTAAGAAAAACATCCTCTTATTAGATACCTAAATGCCCTAAGTTACTAGGGATGAGTATCAATAGTCAATGTTTTTGAAACATCAATATGGGTTTTATTGATGTTAAATGTATTTTACATCGATGGTAGATTATTAACTGATGTTTTTATTACATCAATGTTTTAGGCCAAGTAATTGAAATAGCCTATCAATGTTTTCCAATATCAAATTGTACTACATAGTTTTTGGTTAGTAAGCTTTTACAGTACAGAGAGCAGACAAAAAACTGGAAAAAACTTTGATTTACATCGATGTGTTTTAGCCCCGAAAACATATCGATGGTGAACCTATCGACACAGAAAACATACTACTATAACCCAGAATGCCAACCGCATGGTAAAAAGCATTAACCCTTAGAGTGCCAGGCGAGAAATAAAAGTAACGCTCAAAAAATGCCGATGATTTTTCCCGAAGGTCGCGCTAAAAATGCCGAGCGTGATCTGGCGATTTTTAGGTAAAAATTTCGTAAAAATCGAATTTTCGATATTTCGACCAACGAAAATCGAAGTATCGCATCTCTAGTAACTTTTGACTCAATGTTAATATATGGGTTAAAAGAATCCGAGTATCCATTCGGTTGTTATGAAAACTGTTCGATCATTACGAAACGTCCGGTCAGCCGGACGTCGGCGCTTTTGGCTCGTTTTAAAAAAGTCCGGTCCCCCGGACGTTGGCACTCAAAGGGTTAAAAGTGTTTTGAGCGTGCTTTGCCTGTCAATCGTAGGCAGCGCCACCAGCGTTGCCATGCACTCAGCATAGCAACGCTGGTGGCGCTGCCTACGATTGACAGGCAAAGCTCTCTCAAAACACTTAATGCTTTTTACCATGCGGTTGGCATTCTGGGTTATAAGTTAGTAGTATGCTTTCTGTGCTATTGATGCTTATCCTTATAAGTTAGGCTCCTGTGTTTATGTTTTAAAAAGCTATCAACTTTTTAATCCTTTGGAGACTGACCCTATAGTATATGACACACTGCCTAGGACCTTGGTACTTTTGACAGTTTCTGCAATGTTATAGAAAAAATGCTGTAGGGCCTAGCCTAACTTTTGAAAAACACAGCCCTCTTTCATCTTTTTTTGTATCTAAAACTTATAGCAAAAAGTACCAGCTTCTGAAATCCCGGAAGTTGGTCTCCCTAAGGGTTAAGTTATTTCCATAACCGATTTTAAGAAGATAAAAATATATTTAAGTTAAGTACCAAAATTCAGATATTAGGTACAATCTTGTGTTAAGAACAAAAAATCCCCACGAAGACTGATCATCTGTACGTGGGGGACAGAAGAACACAATAAAGCAATAAGTAGCCTAATTAAAATTGAAAAGAAATAAAAAAAATTAAAAGGTTTTTTGCCTTAACATTGGTACGGTAGGGTAAATTTAAAGAGACTAAATAAATAAAATAAAGCCTATGACCAATTAAGTTACCATACTGTATAATGAGTTTAACAGGTGTTTAAAGACAACTCAAAACTAATATTACATAGAAAATAATGAAAACAGTTATTGTACACAAAACAAAGGCTAAGCGCACACGGTTGATTTTTTGGTCGGGCGATTAAAAAATCAGCCAAATCGGCAAATTTTTGTATATTTATTGAACCAAATGAACGCTATTTACTTATTTGTCCAGGTTGCAGTGAGAGCTACTTTTCTAGGCTCAGTCTTTACTGGAGGGCTGCTAGTGGCATTCCTGCTACCAAACCCTTGGATCCCTTATGGATGGTGAGTTTTTACTGTTTTAAGATGAAAATAATTGGTTGTTTTTTCATATCAATGCTGGAAAACTTCCAAAGTCACCATATGTTTACATTCAATATCCCTCCGAGTGTCACGCGTCATAAAAACGACGCACAACACACTTTGTGTAGGGTCACGCGTCGCTTTTAAGACGCACAAACATCGTTTACGGCGAAGGCTCTATGACTGACTGAATCGGATTGAACTGGATCGAGTTAGGTATCGTTCGTTCCGTTTTATTCTAAGCTTTCTCCAGATGTCTCCCTCGGCGCTGTTTTTTCTCCGAGCCGATCGTAATTGTAGCATGTAGCAGACAGCTGACTTTTACTTGACTTGGTGTTTTAGTGTTTACGTTTACGTTTGTTTATCGTCGTTTTTGGTGGTAAAAATCAGTAAAAATGGACAGTAGTGATATTCGTAATGCACTAATTGAAGATTTAAGTGATGTAGAAGGACTAGTTGATGATCCCGAAGAAGTAGGCAGTGACATTGATGTGAATTATCCTTCAGATTCTGAACTATCTTTGCTAGACTTTTCGTCAGGGAGTGGAGAGGAATATGTGCCCGATTTGGACGATTTAGAGACGTCAGATATTGACGAAAATCTTGAAATTGAAAATGAACAAGACCCTAATGCAGGTAGGCCTAGGCTAATACCAGTACAGCAAAACATAGAACCTTGGATTAGGGTGTATCCCCCCGAACCTCCGAAAGATATCAGACCTCAGTTTCAAGTTAGGGCTACAGGACCCAAAGATTTACCCCCAAGAAATTCTTCCCCTATCAATTATTTGAACCTATTTTTGACAGCTGCCTTTTGGAATCTCATAACAAGAGAAACTAATGCATATGCTCAAAGAACATTAGATGAAAAGAGAGATAATTTGAGTCCACAATCTAGGTTCAAAAGATGGTCCAATGTTTCCATACAGGAAATGAAAAAGTTCTTTGCTATTCTTATCAATATGGGAATGATTGTTAAGAAAAACATCAAATCATATTGGGACACTAGAAAAACAGAATATATACCATTTTTTTCAAACACCATGGCGGTAAATAGGTTTTTACTCATAAGCAGTTTCTTGCATTTGACATCGGCCCGCGCTGTTGAGAGGGGTCAGCCTGGACATGACCATTGGATGAAAGTAAGGTGGTTGTTAGATCATCTCAATTCAAGTTTCAAAAAACACTTTGTACCAAATCAGGAACTCTCCATCGACGAAAGTGTAGTGGGAACAAAGAACCGATGCATATTTATTCAATACATGCCAAATAAGAAACACAAACAATACGGCATTAAAAAATTCGAACTTTGTGATAGTGCCACCAATTATGTTATGCACATGGAACTATACAGTGGACGTGATTACCTTGCTGAAGCTAACTATGATGAAGAGTTGTTTACCGAGAGGGTAGTAAAGAACTTGATTGAAAAATCTTCATTGTTTGACAAAGGATATCATGTCTTTACCGACAATTTCTACACGAAAATCCCATTGGCTGAACACCTTCTTGAACGACAAACATTCATCACAGGAACCATAAACAAAAAGTCAAAATTTATATCAAAAAGAATTAAAAACTATAACTTAGGAGAAAGGGAAACAGTATACTTTAGAAAGGGAAATCTGTTAATGGTTGGTTACCGTCAGAAACTGAGTAGGAAAATTGTGTATTTGATTTCTACAGCATACCATGCGGAAGATCAAATTATTACAAGTAAAAAGGGACTGAGAGGCATGAAACCGGTCTTGATACACCATTACAACCAGTTTATGGGTGGTGTGGATGTTAGCGACAAATCTGTGTACCATATGTCTTGCAACCGCACCACTTCGAAGTACTGGAAGAAGCTTTTCTTTAATTTTATTGATATTGCGCTCGTAAATGCTTACATTCTATACAAAGAGAACACTGACAAACCTGTATCAAGAAGAGATTTCCACATATCTATTGTAGAATCCCTCGTAGGCGAAGCAACCTGTGATGCCTTACCTGTACCAATTCCTGGACCCCATGGGGATTGCGGTGACCACCGACTAGAAAAACTGCATCAAGGAAAACTAAGATTGTGTATCGTTTGTGGTCACACCAAAACCAGAGGCAAAGGCAGGTCTACATATTGGTGCCCCGGATGTAATGTGGGTGTTCACAAAGAGTGCTTCCACAAAATGCAGCACTTTTGGAGGCATAACAGTGGCAGAAAAAGGGCCAGAGTGACCCTAAACCAAAGTAGCGGAGAGGACTCTGATTAGGCCTATGTGTTAATTCTTCTGTACATAGTATTTCTTTTCATAAGTGTTATTTTTTATTTACTAGTGTTGAAAACTATTGACAGCAACAACTTTGCAAGTTTTTTGTCTGACTTTTGTGACTTTATGTAAATATATTTTGGATACTTTGTAATTTGTCAAGTTCAGCAAACTTCTTCAAGTTCTTCGAATTCTTCAAGTTCGGCAAAGGATTCTGGCCCCATAATCAAGGTAAAACCATGCTGTATTTTTCTCATTTACTAGTAGGCTGATTTTGTACTAACTGTAAATAAAATTTCATACAACATGAAATACTCTGGTTGGTATATGTGTTTTTATGAAAGGTGTTGAGTCATTGGGCGATTTCGGTATTTTCTTTCAAACGCGCAAAACATGTTTTTCACTCATAACTTATTTATTTGATAAATTACCTCACTATATGATTATATATTTGTAATCCTCATTAAATTTAGAACAAAGTGGCTATTTTCAAATATTTTTAGGCCTATAATTTATACAATTTCATTGAGCGCAAACTTATTTTTTTTTTCAATTTTTCCAAAATAATTTTTTTTTTTACCTAAAAAAATTTTTTGAAACAAATATTCCATATGTTTTATGTATGATATTGAAGCCCATGATTTTCCAAACAAAATGGTATATAGAACATTAGAATTAACATTGTTTTAAGCTTCTCAGATCCGTTTTAATAAAACCTTGCAAATGCGCCAAAAATAGGTGGACATTTCGGTATTTTCTTTCAAACGCGCAAAACATGTTTTTCACTCATAACTTATTTATATGATAACTTACCTCACTAAATGATTATATATTTGTAATCCTCATTAAATTTAGAACAAAGTGGCTATTTTCAAATATTTATAGGCCTATAATTTATACAATTTCATTGAGCGCGAACTTATTTTTTTTTTGAAAATTTTCGAAATTATATTTTTTTTTACCTAAAATTTTTTTTTTTGAAAAAATTTTCCTTATGTTTTATATATAATATTGAAGCCCATGATTTTCCAAACAAAATGGTATATAGAACATTAGAATTAACATTGTTTTAAGCTTCTCAGATCCGTTTTAATAAAACCTTGCAAATGCACCAAAAATAGGTGGACATTAAGGCCTAAACTATGGACACTGGGAGGGATATAGGTATGAAAAATCATCACTTTTCCGTTAGCCAAAATATTATCCCTTTACTCATGATCTGACCAGCTAGTTGCATAGGTTTTAGGTACGAAGTGTGGTTTATAATTCCATTTGTTTGTAAAAAATTACATAAATATTATTGGTTCCAGGTACATGTGTGTCATGGCATTCTTCCATTACTCAGAATTCCTAACAATCGCTCTCACTAATCCAAGGACATTGACTATCGATTCTTTCATTTTGAATCACAGCAATGAGTATATGATTGCTGCTGTGTCTAGCTGGGTTGAATTTTTCATTGAAGCATACTTCTTCCCTGGTAAGTCAGTGGCTTAGTAACTATTTTACAACAAATCTATAGCAATACAGTAAATGTTTCTCTGTTCGGATAAAATTATTAGTCAAGGTACCCCTTTTTGCACTTTTCTCCAAAACCTATTGGCATAGTATAATAAGGTAGACTATACGGTAGGCATAACGTAGGCTACTACACTGTTAACTCAGTATTTGTCTTCTAGTATAAACAAATTTTTGTATGCTGTTTTAATCTCTTTTGTTTTAGCAAAGTCAAGAAATATTATCAGCAGTTGTTTGTTTTATTCTGAGGCGTTGAAATATATTGTTGTTATGTAATCTTTTCTGGTTGAAACTTTGTGTTTCTAATCTTACCATTTTTTTACATAATGGGATTGAGGGTAACATTTTGTAATTTTTAGAGTTGAAAACGCTGAGGCTCGTGTCGTATGTCGGTCTCAGTCTATGCATAGGAGGCGAGTGTCTACGTAAGTGTGCGATGTGGACGGCCCGTACCAACTTCAATCATGTGGTCCAGAGTGTACGGCATAACGACCATCAGCTGGTGACTCACGGTATTTACAGCGTCTGCCGTCACCCTAGCTACGTCGGCTGGTTCTACTGGTCGATGGGCACTCAGGTAAGGGCATTGTTCGAGGTGAAAATCTATTCTTCATCAACTAAAAACCATCTCTAAACCATAAATTCACATCATCTGTGAATTATTTACTTGATGTTACCATGACTGCAGATCAGAAATCATCAGACTAGCTATTAGCATCGTAGAGTAAAAATTATTATACAGAAGGACCTCAATGGCAAATCAAGATTTTTCCATTCAGAAGTTTTTGCCATGAAGTTTTTTGTCTATAATGTTAGACAAATTTGAGACAAACTAAATATTAAAAGCTGCAAACATAAAACTGCACAAAATTTAATTTTTAAGTAAGTGCAAATGAATTTGATCTTGTCTTTAGAAAGGAAAAAGTTCTGGAACATGACAGGATTAATACTCTAATTGGACAGTGCTTAAAAACAGATTATTGAAAACTACAAAAGTTTAAACATCATTAACAAAAATAAGGTAGGCACCAACTAAGAAATTCAAACCGACAACTTTAAATCATGTTCTAGAAAACCAAAATAACTTTCAACGAACCCCAATTTCAATGAGCTAAGCTGAACTCAAGCCACATGCATTTTTCTTTACGCTTTTTCTAGATGATCCTGGTTAACCCGTTGTGTTTCGTGGCTTATATTCTGGCCAGCTGGAAGTTTTTCCACGACCGAATAATGGTTGAGGAAATCACGCTGATAAACTTCTTCGGAGAACAATACCTCGACTATCAGAAGAAAGTTTCAACCGGGCTTCCGTTCATTAGAGGTAAGTTCAGAACATAGAGTGGTGTGAAATACAGGAATATGAGCTGTTATTGGAGGTTAACTGGTTTTAAGCTTTAAAACAGTTGAATTGTATATAAGATAGGGGTCTGCGGTGCACCGAAAAAGTCGGTACGGTACGGTACAAGCTTAATTACCGTCATCGGTTCGGTACAGCATTTTACACGGTACAAATTCGGTTCGGTACAGCCTATTATAATAATAAATTACTTTCAGTTTACTAACAGCAGTTGGTTCCGAGCACATAAAAGTCTTATCAGATGTTTGTTTACGATCTTCATAATTTATTACTAGCGTGATGATGCAATAAAAACCCCATTAGCAGTCCCAAATCCATTAACATTTTATCTTGACAATAATTGTTGTATTGAAGTACTTCCAAGAACTGTTGAGTTTTATCACTTTTATTTCTTTACGACTTTCCCCAATTCTGTTTTATCATAAAAATAATAGTTTTATGATGACTGTTAAATGTTATCTCTAACTTAATCAGTATTTTCGTGAATATTGAATTTGCCGCTGGCCATTGCCTACTGCCATAAAACTGTTTATGGCTACATATTAAACTTGTAACTAATCTACAATCTTATTTTATAAATTAAAATATTTGTTTTGGATATTTTATCTTTCTATTGACGACCATGGATATATACAAACTTTTGTCGTGATTTTAATTTCAACATCAAAATACAATATTGCACAATCGTGATATTTTAGGCCATTGGCCTTTATTATGCATCCGGTATTGCTGTTTCAGAAGAGAAGCACGTTGATAAATTATAAATTGATATTCCCGTAGTTAAAAAGAATTATTTTATAAACCTATAAAACAAAATCATAAAATCTTACATAAAGATAACAATAACGGAAATTATAAAAAGGGTATAAAGATAACAACTCATTCTTTCTCTTTGTTCTGCTATTTCTTGGGTTTCCCTTCATCACGCATTCAACAAGTTGCCATGGTTACTAATCACCCATGTCGTTATCAGCTTTTGTGACATAGCGCACAGCAGGGGGTAAAACTTGACAAAAATCGGTAAATCTTTACCTATTATTTAATTACCAATGAATGTACTACTTTATTGGTATTTGGTATTGTATTAATAATCGGTCCAAATGGCAGATTTTTGTCAAATTTTACACCAAATGTATTGAAATTTCAAGGTGAATATTAATAAAACAATTATTACCAAATATTTGTATTCATTTAAAAGATTGATTTGTGGTATTGGGTTCCCCACTGAGTGCAGCCGAGCGGCACTAATGAGGGTCGGACCTTCTTGGGGGTGAACAATAGACGGCTTATCAGACCCTCCCCTCCCCCGTGGTCTGGAGAAAGCTTGTAAACAAACTATTGCACAACATTGAGCTGCTTCAACTATAATTTTGTCAAATGAACTGTTATGTTTCAAAATGAAAAACAATAATTTGGGACCATACTGCTTAACAATAATGGACTGCAATTATTGTTGAACATACAATTCATTTTTAACAAACTAAGATTATACGATTCAAATACAATTATAAAAATTATCTTGGTATTTTACTTGGGGTAATGAAGTTATGTAGGCTAGTGTAATTCTTGGTTCATCAAGGTTCTACTGAATTATGTTTGGCAGTGAATAAGTGTAAAATGCAACTTATAAATTCAGGGATACACACCTTTTACACAGTTATAAAGTCTAATTGCCCAACATCAAATCTTACTCTGTGATAATCCAAATTTTAGTTTCAGAAAAAAACTTTGCAAGAATTGTATCCATCTTATAACTTAACTAGTTTTGAAGCTGATAAAAAAAAATGGTCTTTGCCATTACTTCATCATAACCTCCAGTTTTTCATTGTCATCTGCTGTGAACAGCTGGCAAAACTACACTGTCTTCTACTGAATGCTTTTATATGTTTTTAAAATAAAAAAAAAAACAACTAGACATTGTGTTGTTTGGAAATAATTTACCAGTTTTGTGAAATTATCTTGTCAATAAATGTTTCAAACATGTTTATTCATAATAACTCTTATCCTATTTTTAAACTATTTTATCATGGCTATTCAAAGTATCTCAGAGTAAAATAGGTAAAGCCTTTATCTCAACTGTGATTTTTCTTGACACAATCCTCGTAGTAGTTAAAGGTTTTGTTTTAATAATATGTGGTACAGTAATTGTTGTTAGAAAACCATGAATGTAGGATACTATCCATTTTCATAGTGATGTCTATGTATTAAAGTTAAAAATAATGGTTTAGATACAGTTCTGAGAAGAAAACCGCAAAAATACGGGTAGCCGCGTACCGTACCGATTTTGTACCGAGAACCGAGGTACAAAATATTTTACCGTACCGAACCGTACCGACCTTAAATTTTCTGTACCGCAGACCCCTAATATAAGAACATTTCAGTTAGCAAAAAAACGATAAAGCATTTATTGATTTTTCACAATTTTTTTTACAGAAAGTGAAAAGTTCAGTAAAAAACCAATTCCTAAAATTTCATGCTTTACAATAATTGTAATAGAATATATGAACTTTAAAACTGAAAACTGTTGCCAACTTGATATAGGTAATAGTATTACTCAATAATCAGGATTGATTCACTAGCTGCAATTTTGAAAACACTAACCATCACATTATATTAATTAACTGTCTTAAATGTGTCTAACATGATCAATTCAGAACAATTGTGAGTGTAATTTTAAGTTTATGTTGTTCACAATACTGTATTATTAATACAATTTTTTTTTTCAAAGTAGGAAGGAAGACACAAATAAAAAATCTAAAGGTATTATATAATTTTGTGTTTATCATCTATTGAGCACATATGTAGGCTGAAAATTTATCCTCACAGTAAAATAGCAGTTGACGAGGTTGATGTGTTGTTTGTTTTATATTTATTTCATTGTAATTTCCCGATGTTAGATCAAGATTGTACAATAAAGCAGATAGAGGTATAGTTTTTATATATTTTATGAATTTTGTTTGGTTTTCAAGCACTACACCTTAGTTGTTTTTCACTTGAAAAATATTAATAGGTTTGGTAAGTGTAGTAATTACTGTAATTTATTAACTGTAGTCTGAATTAAATAAAGAATTCCCTTATATAGAACAAAACACAGAAATAGAGAAGTGTACAATTAAGTGTGTGATTTTGATTCTTTATGTGTATTTTAGAAATAGGTGCTTGTGTTTCTCAATTCTCTTAAAGCCACTTGATTATTTTTACCTTTTTCTTATTTTCCCTCACATGCAAGGTATACAGGTTGTTAAAAAAAGTGGGGACATAATTTACGTAGTGATTCCTTGAGTCAAAATAAAGAGAAAATCAAGTATAACATTTTTCCAAAATCATGGCGTTAGCCAGATATTCTCCATTTTGTATTTTTTAAATAAACATATTTATCTTTGAATTTTTTGACCGATCATTATGAAACTTGGTATGTGTGTTAAGGTAGAAGAGACCCATGTTAGAAAAAAAATCATCTTGATTCAACTTAAAATTCAAAATGGCGGCCATTTCAATTTTTTTAAATGGCTGATTTGATGAAAAATGTCAAGGACACTTTAATTTAGAATTTTTAATTCCCTATTAAACGGTATCAAGTTCAAAAAGGTCAAATAAGAAATAGCTGAAATATTACGATTTTTACTTGTTGTAAGTTGTTTTTTTCTGAATCACTGTGTTAAATATACAGGGTGAGTTTTAATTGCCCCCCCCCCCAACTTTTTTCTAAATTTTTTCAAATATCAATCCCAGACCACTTCCAAACATTGTTGGGTAGTAAGTACTTCATTTTGACAAGGTGGTAATTTCCGGCCGCCATCTTGGATCCGCCATATTGGATGCAAAATATTTTTTTCAAATGTAAAGGTGGGGTTGTGACCCATTATTTTGAACTAAATTTTTACCCTGATTACAATGCTACAAACCGTTTTTTAAAATCTTGATTCATTCTAAAGGTATGGGGGCTTTTTAAAACTTTATTTTTAGCCCATTTTAACATTGTGCATTAACAAACTAAGACCATAATCTCTAAATAGTGCTAGATAAAGATAAGTATACACTACCAGTCATTGTCGACCTATTTTCACTTGGCTATGACTGATGTATTTTTTGGCCGCCATCTTGAAATGTGATTTCAAGCTAAGACGGTGCCCTTTTTTCAATTAAAAGTTGTAATATTTCAGCTATTTCTTATTTGGTCTTTTTGAACTTGGTACCCTTTGATAGTGAATTAAAAATACTAAATAAAAGTGTTCTCAACATTTTTTCATTAAATCAGCCGTTATTGTGTAATTTAAGTTTAAAAAATTAAAGACATTTTGAAATTTTTAAGTTGAATCAAGATGATTTTTTTCTAGCGTGGATCTCTTTTACCTTAACATACATACAAAGTTTCATTAAGATCGGTCAAAAATTCAAAATGGCGGATATCTGGCTAACATAGCGATTTTGGAAAAATGTTATGATTGATTTTCTCTTTATTTTGACTCAAGGAATCACTACGTAAATTATGTCCCCACCTTTTTTAAACACCCTGTATAGATATCTTATTTTAACATCTAGCTAATAAATACCCCTGTTGAAACAGACCTGCAGACTAAGTAAATTCTTAGTTGCTTTATGGATTTTGAAATCCATACACGTCTATTTTTCATTATAAAAAAAAATTTAAATCACAGCCAAGTGTAAACATCAGCTACGGAGCTGCAAATGGTGCCGTTCTGTTCACAAAATGCCAGTAAGTGGCGAGAAACCTAGTTTGGGCGTATACACAAACTATGAAGCCTAGCTGTATGCACTAACGGGTGTTAGTTCTTACTTGATAAACAATCTTTGTACATTTGTAAAAAATTTTGTATCCAAGAATTTCACACTCATGATTATCTGTGTTTTTTTTTTTTTTTTTTGGCCTATGAAACAAATACACAAAACATGTTAGCAGGTTTATACAAGCCTACACCCTTTGTATATTAATTATTCCCATAAATAAATAAATTCAAACAAAACTGGTCTTGTTAGGTACAAGAAGGGTTACGCAGCAACTCGGAACTGTAGAAGATCAGGGTGAAATGTTAAGTCGAGTCCCCCAAGTGTCATAAGCCAACTCGGGATGTGCCTGAGGTGGGAAACTGGTGGTGTGAGGGTGAACTTAATACAACCTAACCTAAAAAGTATTACCAATAACTAATGTTACAAAATAGTCCAACAACAAGCTAAGTCCCATTAACTGCATGTTAACACATATGTAAATTAATTTTCCTAGATTTTGCATAGTGCTAAAATGTAAACATGAACTATTAATAGTTGATAACTGTAATAAAATTGATTTCTAAGCAATAAAATCATGTCCCACAAATAATACAAAATATTTATGTATATGAAGTCAAGTCAAATCAACTGGCACAATTTTATTCATGCCATATAAATACATACAAAGGGGTGATAAACATTCCTCATATTATCAACTGTTTTAATAATTTAGGAATTTATGAAAACTGGACTAGACACAAAGATCTATTAAATATTGATAATATTAAAGAAACTATTGGTTTTTTTTTTACTAAAAAACAACAAAAATATGGTTTGGAAAAAATTATAGTAGCATGGAGACTAAGCAAAGATGTTTAGCTCATCAACTTCTCTAACCTTAAGATTTGCCAAAACTATTAATCAGAAGTTTCCCAAAACCTCATTCCCTGAGGCATTTAATAAAAAAAAACAATAAAAAAACAATTAAATTTGTTTGATAACAATTTCTAGTAAAAGCCCTATAATCAGGTTTGCAGTGCTCATAAATGCTAATTGAAAATTCCTGAGGTGGAAAAAATAATTCAAATGTTGTCATTTGTGTTTCAAACGAACTATCTTTTCCAGGGTATCGTCTAGCAGAGTGAGGTAGGGTTGGGTCGGACAGCCCAGCCGCAGAATGGCTCACTGCGAATGACGATCGACTCACGCTGCAAGAATCACACTTCCGGCCATCCGAGGCGGAAGTTTAACATCATCCAAGAAAGCTATGCTGTTTATAAGTTTGGAATCATTCCTTCTTCCTATTTTGGTTTCCGTTTAAAATTTCATTCTGAAAATATTTGTTGAATTTTATGAAAATTTGCTACCAGCTGCTTATACAGTAGGCCTGTAACTCCAATTGTCCGAACGCCCATTTTTCGAATTGCCGATTATCCAAATCGCATTCAGAAAGAATTTGAAAATACCCCTTTGCAGCAAACCTGCATACTAAGCGAATTTCCATTTGCCTGATTGGATTTACACTAAAATATCTCCTTAAAAATATCATATTTATTATCTATTTAAATGTTAAATAGGATTTGTTCGTTCGTTGTGATGTTCTAGTCTAGTGAGCTGAAACCCTACTAGAGAACATTAGTTTAACCCTTAGAGTGCCAGGCGAGAAATAAAAGTAACGCTCAAAAAATGCCGATGATTTTTCCCGAAGGTCGCGCTAAAAATGCCGAGCACGATCTGGCGATTTTTAGGTTAAAATTTCGTAAAAATCGAATTTTCGATATTTCGACCAAACAAAATCGATGTATCGCATCTAGTAACTTTCGACTCAATGTTAATATATGGGTTAAAAGAATCCGAGTATCCATTCGGTTGTTATGACAACTGTTCGATCATTACGAAACGTCCGGTCAGCCGGACGTTGGCACTTTTGGCTCGTTCTAAAAACGTCCGGTCGGCCGGACGTCGGCACTTTTGGCTCGTTTTAAAAACGTCCGGTTCCCCGGACGTTGGCACTCAAAGGGTTAACGTAACGAGTACTTAGGTTTTCTGCAACAGGGAGGGTAAATAATAGTTGTTTGTAAAATGTAAGTATTTAAGTATGAAATAAATGCATTTTAAAAATTTGATCAAAATATGTTCATAAACAAGCAAACTACAGCAGTTTGCTTATTCTCCATTAGAATAACATGTGAACTTTAAATTTATGATTTTTTGGAATTTTCTCCGTAAATATAAGGTGCACAACAACACTTCAATAAACAAAATTAATTTGTTTTTCTTTATCTGTACCAAATGGTTTGGAAATAAATTGCAAAATTTTATGTTTTTAGGGTCAAAAACGGGAAAAACCTATTTTCATCCCGTAAAACCCCTATAAACCCCAGTTCTCATAGTCAGATATTGCTAGTTCACGAACTTGTTCAAATAAATGTAGGTTTACACTGAATTTCATCAAAATCGGATAATTTTTGCTCAAGTTAACAAGTTGTCGTGCTTACGGACATATATACAGGGTGAGTTTTAATTGTCCCCCCCCATACTTTTTTCTACATTTTTTCAAATATCAATCCCAGACCACTTCCAAACATTGTTGGAAATAAGTACTTCATTTTGACAAGGTGGTCATTTCCGGCCGCCATCTTGGATCCGCCATATTGGATGCAAAATATTTTTTTCAAATGTAAAGGTGGGGTTGTGACCCATTATCCCGAACTAGATTTTTACTCTGATTACAATGCCACAAACCGTTTTTAAAAATCTTGATTCATTCCAAAGTTATGAGGGCTTTTTAAAACTTTATTTTTAGCCCATTTTAACATTGTGCATTTACAAACTAAGGCCATAATCTCAAAATAGTGCTAGATAAAGATAAGTATACACTACCAGTCATTGTTGACCTACTTTCACTTGGTTATGGCTGATGTATTTTTTTCGGCCGCCATCTTGGATCCGCCATTTTGAAATGTGATAAATTATTTTAAATATGAAGGGGGTGTTGTGACCCATCATTTCGAACTACTTTTTTAAGCTGAACTCAATGCCGCAATTCATTTTTGGTTATCAAGCTTTATTTATGAAATATTGCAATTTTTTTGTTAAAAATGTCAATATTTCAAAATCAAAATATGAAAATGAAAAACGGATCACGGAATTGAGTTTAGCTTAAAAAGTAGTTCGAAATGATGGGTCACAACACCCCCTTCTATTTAAAATAATTTATCACATTTCAAAATGGCGGATCCAAGATGGCGGCCGAAAAAAATACATCAACCATAACCAAGTGAAAGTAGGTCAACAATGACTGGTAGTGTATACTTATCTTTATCTAGCACTATTTTGAGATTATGGCCTTAGTTTGTAAATGCACAATGTTAAAATGGGCTAAAAAAAAGTTTTAAAAAGTCCTCATAACTTTGGAATGAATCAAAATTTTTAAAAACAGTTTGTGGCATTGTAATCAGAGTAAAAATCTAGTTCAGAATAATGGGTCACAACCCCACCTTCACATTTGAAAAAAATATTTTGCATCCAATATGGCGGATCCAAGATGGCGGCCGGAAATGACCACCTTGTCAAAATGAAGTACTTACTACCCGACAATGTTTGGAAGTGGTCTGGGATTGATATTTGAAAAAATGTAGAAAAAAGTATGGGGGGGGGACAATTAAAACTCACCCTGTATATATATATATGAATTTGAACAGATGGTGTTTTTAATTCCCTATATAGGAAATTCGCTAAAAATCAAGCACAGTAATAAGTGTTATTAAAGATGGTAGTAGCCATGATTGGGGCAAGATGCAAAACCTCTCACGGTTGTGTAGATATCATCATCTCCCGCGGTCACGGAAACAACATCATCGTCTTCTGTGATTGCGGCAAAATGTTAAATTAATATCTGACGGTCGTAGATAAATCATCAACGTCTACCGGGGTTACGGAAACGTCATCATTTTCCGCAACTGTGTCAACATCTTGAATATCTTTCTTGTAGACATCTTCATCTACCGCGTGAAAGCTTGAATTTTTTTTTAATCATAAAATCTTCACAGACATATTGTGCAATCACAATAGTAAAAGCTCTTCTTGACTGCCTATTTCCTGTAAATTTCTGTGAAAATCTAATTACCCGATTTTTGTTCATCCTATTGATTGGGATAATTGGGGTTCTATTGTAGCTAAGAATCAAGAATGTCTTATGGTTAGGGGTAACAGAACCACATTAGGAAGTCAAATACTTCATTTTTCCTACAGTTACTTAAAATCATATAAATAATTATTCCTTCAAACACTATAGTCTACAATGGGAAATGCTGTAGCAGCTAATCGTAGTCGTAGTATCTTCAAGTGTTTTCCAACTTATTTTCAAGCGTACGCGTATTTCGTGGCTAATAAAAGCACGCTGTTTTATGTTGTTTGGTTGAAATAATGGAGTGTGGTGAGTAAATGCAGCAATTAGCTACTTGGCGTGCTTTAATCAATGCCAGGAAGCCCACTTTGTCAGATAACTGTAGGAAAAATTATGTTTTAACAAGAGCGAATAAAAAACCATAAATTGATATTTTCATGCAAAAAGTTTTTTAATAAGGTCCACTTCTATTGTTTACTTACATTCTGCAGCTTGCCTATGTTGGAGTAATTTAATTTTCTAGGTTATAGCAGACAATTTGTACGTTAAAACGATACTTGTGTAACGATTATTTCAAGAATTAATTTTAATCATAAATTCCTAGTTTTCTTTACCATACATTCAACAGAATGATTCCTAACAACATTGATTATTGCTTACAGACCACATACAAAAATTTATATTTAGGCATAAAATTACCTCGGATAACAGGGGCTCGGAAAATTAAGAGTGTACTGTTTCCATATTTTGTGTCTCCATCCTCAATCATATTCCAACAAGGATTACACTCAAGCAGAGGCTCATTTAACCATGTTCAGTTTCAGTAAAACTGGTTACAGTCCATATAGATGAAGTCTGTTTATCCTAGCATTACATACAATGATCTCCGATAAGCAGGGCTTGTAAAATGGAGAGTGTAGGTCTAATGTATTGTATCTTTTATGTCTCTATCGTCTATCATGCTCCGACAAGAACTCATTTTAACCATGTTCGGTTTCAGTATAACTGGTTACAGCTGGTCCATAGGTGAAGTCAGTTTATCCTAGCATTACTGTAACGTGAAGATAGTTTGCTGATTTTGTGAAAATCTTCTCATACTGCTGACCTAGCTAATATTCCTGAGTAAATGAGTAGCCAATTCATTTCTCTATGTTGCCAAACAATATATATGTTTTAGACTCTTATTTATCCAGTGTAGCAAATCCAAATGACCAAAAATAGAAAAGAGGGTAGAAATAAAACATCTTACGAATTGTTATGTTATTTACAAGTTAACAGATGATACATGTATAAATATTTGTATAAAGTAACAATACATTATGTACAATAGAGTTGTGTTTGATTTCACAACACCAAGCTACACGACCCGGTAGTGATAGAAGTCCATGACTGTTTCTGTAATGTTCCACCCGGCTGCGAGCGACACCAGGAACATCAGCAAAACCGGAACTAGTGGGTACAACAGGACGTGTGTCCTCTGTAAGATTGGCAGACCTGCAAATATGAAGGAAAAACATTGATGAAGGCCAAAGATGTTTAAACCTTTGATCTAGATTAATTATTCAGTCATTTAAAATGCCTATGTTAAATTTCTTTCTCGTCTTATGAACATAAAATTAACCCTCCGAGTGTCCCTTGTTTTGGTTTTAACGTCTGCCTATTTTTGGCGCATTTGCAAGGTTTTATTAAAACGGATCTGAAAAGCTTAAAACAATGTTAATTCTACTGTTCTATATACCATTTTGTTTGGAAAATCATGGGCTTCAATATCATACATAAAACCTAAGGAATATTTGTTTCAGAAATTTTTTTTTAGGTAAAAATAAAAATTATTTTGGAAAAATTTAAAAAAAAATAAGTTCGCACTCAATGAAATTGTATAAATTATAGGCCTATAAATATTTGAAAATAGCCACTTTGTTCTAAATTTTATGAGGATTACAAATATATAATAATATAATGAAGTAAATTTGCAAATAAATAAGTTATGGGCAAAAAACAGATTTCAGTACATAGCGTTTAGTTAAGAATGCATAGCCTAACCATAGCTAGGAATCTGGCTGATAATTTACATCAATATCACTACCTACTTCTTCAGGATCATCAACCAGCCCTTCAAAATCACTTAAATCTTCTTATAATGCACCACGTATATATCACTACTTTTGATTTTTAACACTAAAACAATGATAAACATAATAAAACACATCAGTCATCGGTCTGAGGTTAACTAACCTGTTTACAAATATGCACGTCAGCTGTCTGCTACAATTACGATCGGCTCAGAGAACATACAGCGCTTAGAGACAGACCTCTGGAGAAAGCTTAGAATATAACGTAAAGAACGATACCTAACTCGATCCAGTTCAATCCGATTTTGTCAGTCATAGAGCCTTCGCCGTAAACAGTGTTCGTGAGTCGCTGCAGCGACACATGACACTCGGAGGGTTAAAAATTTTCAAAGCTTTAGTTGGACTCAGATACAGTGAAGAACCTGAGTGAAATAGGACCTGACCTGATTCAAGGTGCAACTCAAATAAATCCTCTTATCGGGATGTAGCCCGAGCTATCCTCAGTTTTAAAGTTGGAGGACATATTCAACCAAGCTCTGCAAGAGACATGTAACCACACGAGTTGAACACCTTGAGTTGGAGGCGTTAAGACTGGAATTATTCATCTTCACTGTCTCGTGGCCAGAGAGCCAATGCCTTATAATGATCAGTCTTCTGTAGGTTAACCAACAGCACTACCAAGAGCTAAGTGTTTTACTTAAATTGACCTTATAGAAGATTTCCATCTTGTAAGTTTCTTCAGTTGATGTTGAGATATTGCACAGAGTAGCAAATGAAAGATTGATTATAGGCCATTGGAGTTTCTAGGGTTAATAAATTCTTTTAGCATTTCTGCAACACACAGATTCCTCCACAATAAAAACTATGACTTTCCAGGCCTATCTGAAATATGCATAATTTTATCTGTTTTAATTTAATTGTTGTTGATCAGAAATCAACAGTTAATCAGATTATTTATTGTAAATAAAGTAAATCATACGACTTACACGTATATCCGAGGAATGTGATATAAACGTAGTAGCCAAACGCAACCACCCAGAGTGTGTTGCCGAACAGGCGAGAGAAAAACCAGTCTTGGCTGATTAATGCTGTAAAATGAAAAGTAATATATTAAAGATTTAAAATTAAAGTATACTCTTAAATATTGCTGAACATGAACAAATTGGTAAGTGTTCAATCATCATAACTATAAACCCCTTTGGGAGGTAAGATTTTGCACATATTTTAATCATGTTCTACGAACAAAAAAGCCAGTGGTGGAAGAAACAGCCAAGTGACAAAATAGTCACTTTTAGGATAAGTAAAAAGTTGCAAAATACCTGATTACGGGGTAACAAACAATTAAGTTTTGAATTCCATCAAATTTTACTCAAAGTGCTGTTTCCTGACCACAGATATACGTTTTATTGATCAGGCCTAATGGTCTATTGCACAATGCTGGTAAACCCAACACACTAGACTCCGATCACAAAATTTAGGTGATTTTAGGGGAAGAAATCAATCCTCTCTACTTAACCCTACCTTCGTAACATAATAGCTCAACAGCTGGTGTAAAAAGTAAATACAAACACTTATTCAAGCCAGCTGTGACATACATTAAGCCATTGCGATACCGTAATTATGCAACCTGATTACACACAGGAATTCCTTTTTTTTGCTACAGTGAGTTGCAATTACAATAACTTCCTTATTTTCATATTTTCTTAAACTGCTACATTCTCCACAGAAAGATTAACAAAAGAATTTGAAATAATATACAAATCGTAAACAAAAGTCGATTTTGACACAAAACATAACCTTAAAACTCTTATTTGTTGTTTACTCATACTTTTGTTTTCCAATACAGGTAAGGCAACCAAAGAAACTAAAAATAAAATACATACAATATTCGATAACTAACTATTGCAAATATACAGGAAAAAAATTATTGGAGAAGTGCTGCAGTCCCTCGGAATAATGTCCAACTAAGTAGCAATGTCCAAGGACATAACAGGTCTGTCTAGGAATACCAAAGCACATTAGAAGCATGACGGAAACATTTTGCCCATGTTTGCTAGTGGGTTAGGCAAAAATTTTAGTGGGGGAAATTGCCCTAAAACCGCCTAAATTTTGTGAACATACACATTAAAACTGCTCAAAAACTTAAGTTTGGGATTTTGTTTGCAATTTTTAGGAATTCGTCGGACAATATTTTATTTTTAAGTTTACAAAATAATCTCAGGTTTCCTTTCCTTCCTTCTTTGTGTTATAAGTTTCTTTATAGTAAACATTTCAATCATGCCTCATGACCACATAATTTATAATCTATATATTGCAATTTTAAGTAGCCTAATTAATATTTTTAACATTACCCAAGAAAAAGCAAAAATGTGTATTTTGAAGGGTAAGGATTCAGGACTATAAAATAATTTAATCTGTATGGCAAAAATATATTTAAGATATTTAACTCACTTTTGTTTAGCAATCACTTAATATATCTGAGTTGGGACATGATCTAATAAAATTTTTTTGAAATGGTACGTTTTGATAAAATTACTCGTTAGATCAAATTACTCAAAACAGACCAAACTCACCGTGATAAAACAGCGTTTGGAATACGTGCACGATGATGAGAGATGGGAAAAAGGCATTAAGGTGGACGTCAAAGGCGTAACCCCACTCAACGTCTTGACCCTGATAAGCTGGCTTCAGGAAGTAGTGGTTGCTGACATACCTGTTGGCGGAAAAGGAAGGCAACCAATTATATTTCATCAGCACTCTGCTGTTATTGATAATCAAGCTTCTGAGACAAAGAAGTGGTCTTTAGTTAGCTATTTGTGTATTAAGAGCGCAAAGAATATCATTGCTGATGGAGCACTTGCACATTCACCGATACAAAATGGCTATCGTGCCACAGTTTAAGCCCAGTGATTATTCAATGCACAATCACTTAAACCTGAGCAGAATTTAGATTCAGCAGGATGGAGCTACTGCCCACAAAGCCGTTGAGGTAATGAGGTAAGAAGCAAATTCTGTGGCCGAGTCATCTCGCATTTTGAAGACATTGCGTGGGCAGCTTGCTCCCTAGTTTTCACCATTTGTAACCTTTTTCTTGGGGACTGCTGAAATCAAGAGTTTACACAAACAAACTCCGCACATTGGATGATCTGAAGGAAGCCATTCGCCAAGAAATGGCAAACCATTCTCCTGCAATGTAAGCGAAAGTGTTTGCCAATTTCAGAGCAAGATTGGAAGAACGTTTGGCCCAAGACAGATATAATTTCTAATTTGTAAGATGTAATTTTTTGAATCTTAAGCTGATCGCATCCGCCATTTTTACGTTTGAGTTGTTAACATTATAAAACCGTCAGATCTTTTTGCTGCAACCTGTATTTCAGCTTGCAAAAGAATTGGAAAAAAAATTAAACTAAAATAAACTATTGCTTAACACGTTGAGTGCAGCCTGTATCTACAGATGTAGAAGCGCCACTCCCACTACATCAGTTCAGTATATTCAGTACAGCTCAGCTATAACCAGGGGACATTATGATCGTTGCCAGACTCTAACTTAGAATGTGAGCTTTACTTTGGTGTAGGTTGGTACTAAAATTTCCCGTAAAATCCCATCTGAATATGCTTTTGTCCCCGTTTTGGAGATTGTCTCTCTTCAAGCCACATTACAAAGGCACTGGCTACGGATCCAGGCAGTGCTGCTACCTTTGGGTGTTTCAGTGAACTACGTCCACTCTCGAGGTAACGCAGCACAATCGCCACTGCTCTTTTGTTATTTTTCAGACTGAAATATTTGAATAACTGTTTGGCAGATTGTGAACTCTGAAACTTAAAGTAAAATACCCCCGCCGCAGCAAACCTGCCGTCTAAGCGAATTTCCATTTGGCCGAATTGATTTTCAATTGATCTATTTAAATAACATTAGGTTTAACGAGTACCTAGGTTTGCTGCTACAAGGAAACTAATAAAGTAGTGTGTTTTTAGTAAAATATTGATAGCTTACTATAAAATAAATAAATTTGCCAAGTTTGATCAAAATATATCCATAAACAAGCAAACTACAACATTTTACAATATTCTCCATAAGAATAACATGGGAATTTTAAATTTACCATTTTTTTAGTTTTCTCCGTAACCAATAACCGTACAAAAACACTTTGATATACTGAATTGTTTGTTTTTTTAAGCTCTTTAAGAAGGTTTAGAGAAAAATTGGGAAATTTTGTGTTTTGAGGGTAAAAAGTGAGAAAAACCAATTTTTACCCCATAAAACCCCCCATAAAACCCTGTTCCCATGGTCCGATCATGCTGGATCGCGAACTCATTCAAGTTTATCCCGCCTTACACCTTCAAACCAAATTTCATCAAAATCGGATAAAAATTACTCAAGTTATCGTGTTCACGGACACACATATATATAAATCTATATATATATATATCTATACATATATATATATATATATACATATATAAAAATTTGAACGAATGGTGTTCTTGGCCTCTGGGGACATTAAAATGAAAAAGTAAATCGGTCCCGGGCCTAAGTCTTACCATGAGACCTACGGTAATAGCTACTTCCCTATAGGGAAATTCGCTAAAAGATAAGGTGCATAATAATATTATACTAATGCAGAATGGTGCCGAAATAGAGGACCCATATGCTGTTAAATATATTAAACAATAATTTTGCTGATATGGTGGAACATCATGTTTTACCAAATCTGAATAAAACCCAAACTAGTTCTGAAAATTTTGCTTCAAACACTAAGTTTAAGTGCAAAACAATTGATGAACCAATTTTAATATCCATAATAGACCAATTAAAACCTAAATGGTCATCAGGTTATGATGAAATTCCGATTAGAATAATAAAAGAATCTAAATCTGTTTTATTAAAGCCACTTTTACATGCCATTAATACTTCACTTATAACAGGTGTTTATCCTGATAAGCTGAAAATTTCAAAAATTATCCTGGTATATAAAAAAGGAGACAAAAAAGATCCAAATAACTATCGACCACTGGCAATTCAACCAGCTCTTTCAAAATTATTTGAAAAATGCTTTCTTTTTCAGCTAGTGGATTATTTTGAAATTAATAACTTATTAGATAAAGAGCAGCATGGTTATAGAAAAAACAAATCCACCACTACAGCACTTATATCTTATATTGAAAATGTGTTAGAAAAGTTGGATGAGGACAACAAAGTAATTGGTGCCTTTTTGGATATGTCCAAGGCATTTGACAGCGTGCACAATTTAAAGTTACTAAATAAACTTAAAATGTATGGAATTGGTGGCAAAAAGTTGAGCTGGATTGAATCTTATCTGGAGGGACGCCAACAGTTTGTTAACATTGCCCATTTAAGTGGGAATAAAATGTACCATATTAAATCTGAGGTTAGGACAGTAAAAGACTCAGTGCCACAAGGATCAGTGTTGGGCCCATTCTTGTTCTTGTGCTACTTGGGAGGGATGCCAAAACATTTATTGGAACATGTAGAAAATAATACTCTGTGCCTGTATGCAGATGACATAAGTATGTCGATTTATGATAAGAATATGGAGCTTCTTAAAAATAAAACTCATGATTCACTCACAATAATTAAAGATTACTTGAATAAAAAAAATCTTTTACTAAATGAAAATAAAACAACGTTCATTGAGTTTGAATCTAAAGAATCTAGAAAAGAACTGTTTAACAATTTTGTTTATGAAACTAAATTTTTTAGGCCTCACCTTAAATAGCACACTTAATTGGACCTCACATGTTGACAACTTATGTAATAAAATAAGCTCAAGTATTTTTGCTATTAGACGCTTATATCCATTATGCAACAGAGAAATCTTAAGAAACGTTTACTTTGCTACTATTCACTCACATATTTCTTACGGTATAGAAATTTATGGAGGAACAAGTAAATTCAATTTAAACAAAATTTTACATTTACAAAAAGAAGCCATTAGGTGTATCCTTAATCTCGATATAAGCGAATCCTGTAAAAATCATTTTAAAGAATTAGAGTTCTTTACCGTTTTCAGTCTCTATATTTATAAGACGATAATGTATGTTAAAAATCATGAATCAGAACTTCAAAGACAGAAAGACGTACATAATTATAACACTAGAAACAAACTAAACTTCATAACTAAAAAACATAAAAAAGAAAAATTTAAGGAAAGTCCTAATTATATTGGAATCAAATTCATGCATTCCCTCCCCAGCAGTATTAGAAACGAAAGTAGCGTAAATAAATTCAAAAATAAACTTAAGGGGTTTTTAATTTATAGCGAATTTTATAGTTTAGAAAGTTTTGAACACTGTAACAAAAAAACTGTATGACTAAGAAAGTAGGGAAGTAGGTGAAATCATGTGAAGTAGTTTTAGGTTGATGACACATTCATGTACACTTGTTGTATGTATTGAATAAAGATTTATTTATTGATTGATTGATTGATTAATACTAATTGCGTACGCTGATTTGATGGCAAACCGGAGCTTCGCCTGGACCTTGCCGTCATTGGCCTGTTTGAATGTACGCCGCACTCAACGTGTTAACCTGTCAAAACTATGAAAAAATCTGTACCAGTAGTTCTAATAAGCAAAGTATTGTTAAAATAATACATGCTCTTGTTTTGACTTACCACATTAAAGTAGCAATTACAATCCCCACTCCTATGCAATCGACAAATACCAAGTAGACTAAAAACTTGAAGAACGCCCAAACACTCAAGTTTAGTATGAAGGTGAAAGCTATTGAAGCCACTGGAACACAAAAAAGTCATATTAGCATTGGTGATATCATTGACTATACACGTAATGACTACAATCTGGTATACTAAAAAACTTTTGCAAAACTTATGAAAAGCTTTGCAAAACTTATGCAAAGCTAGCCTGACCATACTACTGGACCGAATTACATGTGGTTGGTACCAAATGAAAGATATTTTTGGGTGAGTTTTCGACCACGGGGCGAGCTCCAGTGCATTATCTGAAGTATAATGTAATCCTAGATTCTGTTAAAAGAGTAACATGGATTGTGACTGAAGGTGAGTACTAAATGTGTACCAGTTGGTTCTACGCCTTACACTCACAACAAGAATTTCTCCATTGTAAGTATTGGGATGATTTCAAGGCTTGGGTATAAATTAAGTGTAGTGTTTAATTTGTTCAGAATTTTTTTCACCCTAACAGTGTGAGCGCCCTATGGGCTGTAACTACTGAAGGCCTACATGGGCTGTCACAACGCTGTAGGCTACATAGTTCAGATCTTGTTGTGCTGCACAACTGGCTGTTTATATAGTCTATGTCCTAAGTCCACGTTTTTGATTGTAGTTGAATAAAAAAATTATCTCAAAAAGATAATTGATAACCACTGTTGTTCAAGGTTTGTAAAAAAAAAAATATAAAAACATTGTTTGTATTTTGTAGGTATCTATATTTCTATACTTAAAATAAGTTGTTGATACCAAATAAACATTCACTAAGTGTATACAAAAGAAATATAAAGATGAAATTACATACCACATAGCCAAAAACTTAACAACACCAAAAAAGCAGGATCATCTCTTGCAAACTGAGATTTGGTTTCTGAAACAAAAATTATTACAAAATATTCGAATCATCGCCAGGTTAAAACAGAACTTTTAATAAAAAGTACTAAGAAGGACTAAACAAACATATCAGCTGAGTCCAGTTCAAAGACAAGAAGCTTCAGACCTTGATTGAGTCGTAACCACTTTCTAGTTAATAGGCACACTTTAGCTAAACAATTATGGTTTAGCCTATATAGAAATGAACTAGGCCTAGGCCTATTTCATTGTTTTTCAAAGATAAATTTATCGAAATTGCAAAAACTTGTTTTAAATTTAAATTAAACTGGTAGGCCTACACCTTGAAACTTAAGCACAAAGAATGGCTAGTTATTTTTAATATTAGATAGACACATGTATAAAGCCATTAAACCAGCAATAATAAATAATTGCAAAATAATGTAGCTTCATTCCAAATAATGTTTTGTGAAAATCTACCTATTGCAAACTTTGCAAGTTATTATGATAAAAAATAACATTACTAGTACAAAGCTGACATCAAATTAAGGACATCTTCCGCAGTCACGGCAGGAACGTGAATATCTTCTGTGGTCTCAGCAAAATCATTACATCATCCGCGGTCGCAGAGACAACATCGTCTCTCGCGATCGCAGTAAATGGATTGAGAATTTTGGAAGATGCTTTCTGCGATCGGGAAAACAAAAGCTCAGCGCAGTCACAGGAAAATTGAAAATATCTTTCTGAGTTTCCAAAAAAATTTAGACATTTGGGGTCATGGAGAGCTCAAAATAATCTTTTTCAGTCACAAACATCAAACAAAAAAATCGTGAACGTAGCCACAGTCGCTGAGACCATCTCCAGGGATTGCAACCATGAACATAATCTGTATTCAAAACTATTACTTATTTTGGGAAAACACTAATTACAAATTTTGAATCCAGAGGGTTCGGTCCCAGTTAGTTTGGATTGGATACAGGATTCTACTTTATGAATAAGGAGAATTTTGTAGGTAAACCTATAATTTAGCGTGAGACATTACCTACCTTTCCTATAGTTAAAATTTCTGTACACTTTCTGAGGTGCTATAAAAAGATACGTCATCTGCCAAGCCGCAAACTCAAAGTCCATCTGCTCGAACTTGAAGAGTCTGCGCAGATATCTGTAGCGTTTTACAGCGGCAGACATACAGGTTTTTCTGAAACAATATTAATATAATACTAGTGGCTTGTAATGACACAAGTCCCTAAAGATCTTAAATGTTAAACAAATTACTGTAATATTAAAACAAACCACAAATCAAATGATCTTACTGATAATTCTGTAACACCATATCTTTTGTGTAAGAAAAAGTCATTACAAGTCATTGACTAAACTACTTACCACTACAATAAAACTGTCAAATGTTAAGAAATGTACAAAATAATTGGAATAATCTTCAACATATGTTTTGTAATTAAAACAAAATAGGCTAGAAGTGTTCCACTTATTCTTGAATTGTTTATTATTTAGTCAATACGGTTTTTCAATTTTGTTATAATCCCTCAACGCAACAATAACCTTCAGATATGAAGAAATGTTTTTAAACAACGTAATAGTTATTTAACTTACAAGTGTAAGGTACCGGTAGTAAGAACGTTTTTTCGCTCAAGATTTTACAGGACCTGACAATATTTCACTCATCTTCTAACAGTAACGTTCTTTTACAAACAAAAGCTAGGTTAGGAAAATACTTTAAAGCATAACAATAACATTCAAACGCACAGCTGATTTCTAGCGTTGATTGTCGTTGGCTCCATAGAGGTAGGCCTATATTTTATTAAGTTGAGCAGGCCTATATTTTATTAAGTTGAGCACTCAATGTTATTTGAATGGGTTTCATTACTTCACCGATTGAGTGTTTTAAACTTTACTTCACCGAGTGAAGTAAAGAAGTTTGTTTTGCCTCCTGGATTGATAAAGAGTACTAATAATAATAGGTTAAATACCTTAGTTACGACTTCAATACAAGTCGTCTTTTATAATGACTATAGTTTCGGGGCCATTGTCAAATCTTCTGTCTTGTTAAATTACTGTTAATAGCATTGGTCATTGTTGAAGTCCACATATACACACACATTGACACACGTAACATTGAAAATTTTTACTTTTGGCCGGCCTAAACAAAAGTGACTATGACGTTGTGCGGGCCGGTACTATCTAAACAAAAGCAACAAAAGACCGGTAGGCCTACTACCTTTATACCACCTGACCTTCCCCGACCCTATATAGCTGTTTCCCTGACTTTTCGGGTCCGTTGGAACCTTGTTTATGTTAGATTTACCGAGTCTCCTCTACATACTGCTAATAAAGTTAGGCCTATCAATTACGATGGAGATGTCACATCATAGTACAGTAGAGTCTCAATAACAAGTCTCCCATGGGTATAATATAAAACTTTTCATCAAGGTTTTATTACATGTAGCCCAATTAAGGGTCGTATGAAATCAATGGCCTTCTTAAAATTAACTTACATTATTATCAAGGGTCTTCTTATTGAGTTTCTACTATATTCTATAACTATTATTATTATCGTACCTGTGAGTGATAGGGGCTGGTAAGTAAGTTGATCTTAAGCTTTCACGACTACTAAAGCTGTCAAGGCTGCGACTCACCATGCCACTCGTATGTAAACAATGTCTCTATAACAATAAAGGTACTATAAAACAATCAAGAACATAACTATAACTTAGCCTTTAGGCAATTAATTATTTTTGAAAAACTTAAGTTAGGCTGCCACTGAATAAATTAAAGAAAAATGTAGGCTAATATAACTAGTTTAACTTAGCACCTTCACTTTGCCCCCTCAGACATACTTTAATAAGCATCTCAATAACATCTCCTTCAAATTTCAAATTTTCAAAAAGTTATTTGGATTGGCCACTTTAGCTCAATAATAAAAAATAAATAAGCTTATGCTAACATAAAAAGTTCAAAACACAAATGTAAATGACTCACTAACAACCAGGTGTGAAGTGAGTTTCGCAATATTCACACACTCATAACTTAGCCTATGGTGCAAAATAATAGCCGAACAACAGCTGCGGCAATTATTATTGCCAACCACAAAAACAAAATAAGTTAACTTAGGCAAAACCCATTTATACTGTAAGTAAACTTAGGCCTAGTGTAACTTTTAAAATTTAATGTTTATTTTTATATTATACCTATAAGTTAAATTATCTATATAAATTATTTTATAAATAGGCTATAGGCTAAATTATCCGTTTTCAGTCCCGAGAGTAAAGTTAAGTTAAACAATGATAGATGGATATAAGATATCTCCAACTATAGCCCTCTGGAAGAGTATGGCTATTTCTATTAGCCTAAAAAAACTGGTTAAATAGGAGGAATCATACACCCAAGTTCCGCCTTTTTTTCTTTAGGTTGAAAGATAAGTTACCTAGGTACAGATAACTTAGGCTAAGTAATTTACATAAAGTACAGTTTCTTAACTGGGTTTCTTAATCTCTCAATCTTCTTAATCTCTTGAGTTTCTTATTAAATTGAAAATAGCCTATTGATTAATAATCGATATTTTAAAATCCTAGGCCTATCTAATATATAAAATTCTCGTGTCACAGTGTTTGTCTGCAAACTCCTCCGGAACGACTTCACCGATCGTTATGAAATTTGGTGTGTAAATTCTGTAGGTATGCGAATCGGACGTAAACTATTTCCCGTTTCGAAATTCTTAAAAGGGCTCCGCCCCAGTGGCTCTGGAGTTTCCCATGTTAACCTTATGAGAAATGGAATTAATGAATCTTAACAGCTGTTTCAATTAAACAAGTTGGTTCTGTTCTATGATGTTCAATAGCATTAAAGTTACAAGGATTACCAACAGGGTGCAGCACTATTATTTCTTTTACATTTATGACAACAAACAGCTAATTTGCAACCAAAAGGTGAGTGAGCGTAGCGAACGAACTTCAACCTGGAGGCGAGTGAGCGTAGCGAACGAACTTCAACCTGGAGGCGAGTGAGCGTAGCGAACGAGCTAACCTGGAGGCGAGTTAGCGTAGCGAACGAGCTCCAACCCAAAGGTGAGTGAGCGTAGCGAACGAACTTCAACCAGGACGTGATTGAGCGATGCGAACGAGATCATCTTGAAAATTAAACGTAACGGTACTTTCTTTCCATCGGTCTGTCTTAGGGGAAACCTATAACTTAGGCGATACGAAGTTCGCCGGGTTAGCTAGTCTATTATAAAATTAAACTATCATAACCTAACCAACCAAACTTGCTGATGGTGAAAAAATCGCATGAAGGTTTACTAATTGAGGGTAGGCCTACACTTCCATAGCCTAACTTATCTGTTGGCACAAACAACCGAATCAAAATATTGATCGATATAGCAATTGTTCGATATATCGTTTGGTAATTTAGGTAAGGTTAACCTAGCCTAACTAACCAAACGATACCTATATCCCTCCGAGTGTCCATAGTTTAGGCCTTAATGTCCGGGCCTATTTTTGGCGCATTTGCAAGGTTTTATTAAAACGGATCTGAAAAGCTTAAAACAATGTTAATTCTACTGTTCTATATACCATTTTGTTTGGAAAACCATGGGCTTCAATATCATACATAAAACCTAAGGAATAATTTGTTTCAAAAAAATTTTTTAGGTAAAAATAAAAATTATTTTGGAAAAATTGAAAAAAAAATAAGTTCGCGCTTAATGAAATTGTATAAATTATAGGCCTATAAATATTTGAAAATAGCCACTTTGTTCTAAATTTTATGAGGATTACAAATATATAGTAATAAGGAAGTAGATTTGCAAATAAATAAGTTATGGGCAAAAAACAGATTTCAGTACATAGCGTTTAGCTAAGAATGCATAGCCTAACCATAGCTAGGAATCTGGCTGATAATTTACATCAATATCACTACTACCTACTTCTTCAGGATCAACCAGCCCTTCAAAATCACTTAAATCTTCTTATAATGCACCACGTATATCACTACTTTTGATTTTTAACACTAAAACAATGATAAACATAATAAAACACATCAGTCATCGGTCCGAGGTTAACTAACCTGTTTACAAATACGCACGTCAGCTGTCTGCTACAATTACGATCGGCTCGGAGAACATAAAGCTCTTAGAGACAGACCTCTGGAGAAAGGTTAGAATCTAATGAAAAGAACGATACCTAACTCGATCCAGTTCAATCCGATTTTGTCAGTCATAGAGCCTTCGCCTTAAACAGTGTTCGTGAGTCGCTGCAGCGACGCATGACACTCGGAGGGTTAACGAATTAAACAATTGAATAATCAATATAAGCCTACTCAATCGGTTGTTTGAGCCAACAGATATGGAAGTGTAGCCCTAATTGAATCAATAGTTTCAATCGATATTAGCATACCTAGCCCAGTTAGGAAACTGTACCCTAGGAGTTTCCTAATAGTTTAGGAGTAGGCCTAATGAGTGTAACAATCAATAACTTAGCCTAATTAACTTAGGCCTACGTTGGAGTCTGATTTAAAAATTTTGCCAAAGGGTAAAACTTATTCACTATCGAGGTTATAATAACTGATCAGCTTGGCCAACTCTAGCGTAAGTTAATGGCTTAATGAACTGGAATTGGAGTTTTAAGGCCGAGCCACCTAGGCCTAACCAGATTCATTAAGTAGCCTAGGGTACTTTGAGGGGACTAGGCCTAGCTTTGAATTTAAGAGTCTAGGCCTATCTTAGATATTGATTTAGGGTTTGCCTGGGCCTATCTTTAACCTATCTAAGTTATGGTATACTCACTCAAGATTATTTATAATTGTAAAGAAATGCAACTAAAAACACTGATAACCTCTTCTAAATGTGTACATCTTAGCACCTACTAAAAAACATGTTTACACTCAATTTGCCAATTGTTCTTTGGGACATCCAGCTATCAAACTCTAACTCTTGGGTTAAATTAAATTTGATTGGCAATCCCTCTATACCATTGCCATCACCGTCCTAATTTTCTTGACTTGCCAGTTTCCAACTTTCCACTTCCACCCAACCCAACCAAACCAACAGATTTATTAAAGTAAAGTAAACGTAAAGTAAAGTAGTTTGATCTGGCTGGCTGGTTGTTCGGTTGTTGGGTTGTTCTGTTTTGTATAATTTGTTTGTTGAAACTTGGATGTGGGGTTGGTTGTTAGGTTGAGTTCCTGCAAGGCTCACGGGACGTTTCGTGACGTCATAGTGGTGGTTTGTTTCATTGAGCGGAGCGAGCGAAGCGAGCGAAGCTCTTTGGGATCAACTTCAATGCAACAAATAGAGAAACATCACTCAATAACGGCTGAACGCATTTCAGCCAAACTTAACAAAATTACTTAGACTAATAGTGAGATGGTTTTTAAACAAACAAATTTCAATTAGATAATGCTAATGCAATTTAAAACGAACTTAAAATTTCTAATTTTTAACATTAGGCTTATGGGACTAAAGTAGCCATATGACAGTTTTTTGTTTACAAGAAAAATGTAAACAAGAGAATCATAAGGTATTTCTGAACTTTCTAGACTTTTCTTTTAAACGTTTTTAAATCATTCCTATGATCTTAATTAACAAGAAAATACCGTTAAAACATTTTTTTAAGGCGCGGAATTCACTACAAATTGCGATAATAGACGGAACTACTTTCTCAATGCGCGGAGCATATCGCAGTGACTACTTACTCTTGGGCTTGGGCACCTATTTGTGTTGCCAGCTGATTAGAAACTTTACCTTTACCAAGGTAGAAACAGTCAATGTTAGAAATAAGGATTTAATAAGCGATATATCGAATTCGATATTTATTTCGATAATACCTCACAGGTTATATTATGTTGAATTACATCGATGATACAGTTAAGTTATTACACTTATTAATAAAACGCAGATTGAACACTGATCTAATTTAGGCATGTGGGGAAGGTAGGTCGGGGTTTATGAGTATTCGTGACTACATAAAGTGTTTTGAAGTAAGGTTAGATTAGGGAGGTAAAGTGTAGGTTATAGGTAGGTGATCGGTTTATTTATTTGTGTTGCACCATATTATTTTTTATTTTTTGGAATAGTTGGTTAAACGGGGAAACGATTTCAAAAATGCTGCATAAGTTCTTAACAAACCATCTACAGTATTCTAGCATTGACTTTATATAAAGTCAATGATACTAGCAAATTACTACATAGGCCTACAGACCAAAAGAAAAGAACATTTGGATTTGGACCTTTGACCATAGCAAAACTAACATATCTATATCTATAAAAGAGGAACTATGTATGTATGTATATATATGTGTATATACGTTATGGACTCCAAAACCGCTCGACAGATTGTAATGAAACTTTCAGGCATTATTAAGCATCTTTCAAGGATGGTTTGAGTGAAGTTTGGTGCAGATCCGTCAAAAGGGCTCTGCCCCAGGGGGTTTTAAGTGGGCCAATATCAGACTTTTTGATCTACAATGTTTACAAATAAATATAATTTAAAAGCAGATGTTTACTTTCACCAACTGTTTTGTAGGTTTGAATAATCACAACATTCTGTATTAGCATTAGTCATGATTTGAAATAGTGCCCCAGTGTTTGTACAGATTGCAGCACAGAAAACTATTTTACTTTTTAATAAGTCCAAGGTATTAAACCCCAATCGCAGCACACCTGTGCACTCAACAACGTTTAAATTCTCCAATGTTAAATATTAAAACATAAAAACCTTTATCAAAGTATTATAAACAACAAAAGGGATGATTTTTTTTTAATTTATGACGACAGCTTATTTGCAACCAAAAGGTGAGTGAGCGTAGCGAACGAACATTGACCTGGAGGCGAGTAAGCGTAGCGAACGAGTTAACCTGAAAACAAGTGAGCGCAGCGAACGATTTCCAACCTGAAGGTGAGTGAGCGTAGCGAACGAACTTCAACCAGGACGTGTTTGAGCCATGCGAATACTTACCTATGAAGTTAAGCGGGGCAATGCCCGCGGGTACAGCTAGTAATTTATAAAATGTGAAAAGTTGTATATCATTAAATACTATTATGTAATAGCCAATTAATAATTGTTTGGCAAATCCTCATTTTAATGGCTTGGCTACAAATGGAATCTGCATTTTGTGAAACAGTAATTTGGTAACAATTCAGTAATTTCAAATGTTGATAACAGTAGCCTATCCTATAAATACTGTTATTTGATTGCCAGGCCACGGACTATACATACGTCCAGTTACAGCCGTAATAATAAGTAAATAATTAATTACCTGGGCTTATAGAAGTACACTTTCAACCACGGTATGGATAATTGTCTAGGGCTGTCCAGTGGTTTTATTAAGGCCAGTATTAAAATGCCGTCTCTAAATCGTCCCAATAATGATAGAAGACCTACATTCCAGTTACATTACAATCATATCCTCCATCAAGAATACTTGGTATTAACAATCATAAACTATTTCCAGCAAAGAAAGCTGAGTTTAACCGATTGCAATGGTTGAAATGAAGACCAATGTTTATGTTGCACAGTTGAATTTAAATGTCAAATTTCCCCTCCTGATTTTATACTTTAATACTCGTTTTTTAAATAGTTACTGTTTTTTTTATACTTAAATACTTTAACCGATTGTAAGGGTGAAAAATGAAGTCCAATGTTTTTGTTGTAGGCTACAGTTGAATTTGAATGTTAAATTTCCTTTCTCTTTTTTATACTTGAATGCCCTTTTTGGATGTTAATATCAGATTCCAACTACTGTAATATTTTTCTGGTCAAAACTGCCATAATGCACTTCTGGAAGAGGTATCTGAATAACAAGATGTAGTTAAAACAAATTTGTATTATAATTTTTATCAATAAAACAAGCATTAGTATATCTATTGACTTTTTTACATTTAGTTACTTATACAATAATATAAAATCACGTTTGTTCCGCTCAACTGGCTTTCACCTCTCTGAAAGCAACCCTAGTATATTCCAGCATCCAAAGATTACTTCAGATAATCTGCACTGTCTGAGACAATGTCGTGGACGTAGTTGTCATCTGCCTTTGCAAATGTCAAAGTGTCAAATCACCAAAATTGGTTGCTTATTTAAAATGCAATAGTTTTCCTTACCAGTACCTTTCAATGCAGTTTTACGCCTTCTTGAATACTTCCCAATACAGTGGAAGGTTTCACAAATTGTCGTTATTCCAAAACCTGGTAAACCTTTAAATCAAGCATCCGATCTCGATCTCGTATCGGAATATATCTCTTCTTCCCGTGGTTTCTAAAGTTTTTTAAAAACCTTTTTTTTTACAAAGACTCCAAATTGTAATTGATGAAAAAGAATTGTTGCCTTCCCATCAGTTTGGATTCCGCCGAAGGCATTCCACCATGGAGCAAGTAATATAATGATAATAATAATAATAACACGTCTTTTATTTCAAGCGGTTTTCAGTAACAATACTGTTTTTAACTTCTGTTCACTTATAACCTTCCAAGTATCAGGGTATTACAGCTCTATCGTTGGATAAAGACTAACTACTGTGTTTAAATTTGATCAAATTTGCTTATTGTTCCATTTTTTGTTGAACAGATTGTTAATTAAATCAAATGTTTTAAAAAATATTTGCAGACGACACAGATTTTTTATAATAAAATCAGGACCCTATTCTGGCATGATCGATTCAAAAATGCACCCGAGTCCATTCTTCTGCGGGCCCGCGGCGGGTGATTTTGCAGACTCGCAGCATCTGCGTGAAAAAAACACTGCGTGTGGCATACCTCATTACATTTAATGCTGCTCATATTTCTCCCTTTTTTCACGCTGCGTTCTTGCGTGAAAAAACGCCCGTGTGGCCGTAGCCTTATAAACAGACGCTAATCGATTTTAGGCAGGTTGAATGTTATGGAATGACTGGTTACGTACGTAACGATTTAATCAGCGTCAGCGAGTGTTTAAAAGTTAATTGATTATAATTTATAAGCCAATCATCGGCCTCAAGTAAAGAGACACGACTCTCGGCTTTTTAAACAATATTTTTGACAAATACACCTTGAATATAATCTTTCACCGTGACAAAAAGAGGTCTAGTCATGTAGCTACCCACAAATCACTGCGAGTATCAACGGATACATACGACTCATAGTAAACAAACCCGGTTTTGAATCGTGAAACCTTCCATAAGTTTATCATTCATAAATGATACTTTCCTTTAACTAAATCTAAATTTGTTTTTTATTGCTTGATAGTTTTATATTAATGATTAATAAATACACCTCTCTAGATTTAGGAGCAGAGACACCTAGTGGTGACTAGACGAACTGTTGGGCGCTTTAGTTAGAGAGACACATGTTAGTAGCGCTAGTGTAGTCGTCGAACACAGTACGTTGTCGATAAGCGAAACTGCTCGTAGACTACTGAACTGACTTAATAAAATTACAGAAATTTTAATTGTATACAGGTAATTGAATTTGGCATTTGAAGATTACTTGGTATATTTTCTCCATAACATAAAAATCCTTTAATTGAATCGTTCAGCTCTAAATATTTAGTAGCAAAATACAGACTATTAATCCATCGTTTTACGTTTATGTAAAAAAATACAGTAATATTTATTCTATAACTATTATTACCATTACTTTTGAACTAAACAAATAATGAAATACCTAATGAAAACCAGCTGTTGTACCAGTGCTTTGCAACGGGAAACGCACAGGAAATGCAAACGTTTTGAACTGTACATCCTACTAATATTATAAATGAGAAAGTTTGGATGTATGGATGTATGGATGTATGTTTGTGACAAGTGAACGCCAAAAATACTGGTCGGATTGGGCTGAAATTTGGCATGATGATAGCTCACATTCCCGATTAACATATAGGCGTATTCTTATTTCAAAAATCCTTTCGGGCTCCACCCCAGTGGCTCTGGAGTTTCCCATGTTAACCTTATGAGAAATGGAATTATTGAATCTTAACAGCTGTTTCAATTAAACGAGTTGGTTCTGTTCTATGATGTTCAATAGCATTAAAGTTACAAGGATTACCAAACAGGGTGGAGCACTA